TTTTCCACCAGCAGCAATTGTGTGCCATTTTACTATACATAAATACATCCTACTTAGACCTTAAAAACAAGAAATCCATTTTCAAATGTACACAAAAATTGTTCCATATATATACCTAATGAGAGGGATTTAGAATGTTTCTCTTTATTGCCAGCACCTTGCCATGATATTTTAGACCCTTATCTAAAGACTGAAACAATTTTAAAATAAAAACAAAAGTGTTAAGTTGACCAAAAAGACCTAAGGTTCAAATCTTTCTTTAGGCTAGCTACAGAGGAGCCAGAAGACCTAAACAACAAACAACAATTTATTGACTTTCTGCTATCAACTATGTCTCAACATAAGACTCAAGAAGGATTTTCAGTCTGAAAAAGAGGCACTTCAGGGGAAATACAGCAGAGATTGATAAAATCTTAAGTAGCCATAAGTGTGCAGAGATTGATTTTCATTTTCTCTTCAGGTACAAGCACTGTGGTGGATGAAACACAGCTGGTATGCTCCAGATTTAAAGAGAAAAAAGACAGTTATTCACACAACAAGTAGTTTATCTGACAAGAGTACTAAAATGAGTACAAAAAGTTTCAAGAGGTGTCAGAGGAGGCCTATTCATGTTTGCAGAAGTTCAAGTTCATAGAAGAAAACTACAATGAAACTCACAAAGGGCACTACAAATACACCCATCTCAAGAAGTTCTTGAGCTGCAAATGGTGGAAACCTGACACAGTATAGGTAATTTTCTTACGTTATTCTTTCAGTCCTCCCTAAGGGTCTGTTTTTTACCACTGTCAGAGCTATGATAATGAACTCATTAAAGCTTTTAATTCATACCATACCTGTCTAAGACGTTTCTTAAAGATGCTAGAATCTCTTCCTTCTTCTGGGGAACAACATTAAACCCAAAGCAGCAGGCAATAAAGCAGATTAAAGATCTCAAAAGAACTTCCAACTACTTAAGTAGAAAGAAGACTGAGAATGTTCCATAGTATTAAATGAGAGCTCAACTTTGACTAGTTATCCAGCCCCAAAAAACAGAATATTTTCCTTACCTTAAATAAGTATTTTAATAAAAGCAGAAGAAGAATTGGTTGATCCATAGGGAAAGGAATGTTATAGTCCTGTTATCTCTTAAGGGCTTGTATCAACACAGCTACAAAACAATATCATGTCAGAATATCCAAAGAAGGGAAAAACTAATTCAGACATTTATACTTCACATAGATACAGAGACAGCCAATGGTGCACCTGAGATGTGTGTCTTTGCTCTGGCCCTGCCTCTTCCCAACCTTCGTATCAAGTTTCCTGAGATCCTTTAATTTCAGTGAACTGTGCATGTGCCTGTTGTTCACAGTCATTTAAAAACCCCTCAGTGTAAAAAATTATTTTTAGTTTCTATGTGGTTACCAGCTCAAAATTCATTGCAATTAGTGTTACCTTTTACTTATTCTCCTTCAGACTCTGGTTGCTTTCTACAGTACACCTTTCTATCCAGATGTTCTGTGGTCAGTGTACAAAATAAGCCTGAAAACACTTTTCTGCAGAAGTACTAAGCACAGCTGCAGAACCATTAGGATGTCTTATGACCTTACAGAGGTAAGTTGAACTTACCTCTATATAATTCCCAGTGCCCTAGCCTTTTCCCAAATAAAATTTTTAATTAAAAATTCATTTTCCACTGTTCTTTGAAAATAAATCAGTTTAATAAGCTGATAAAAACTTTTTACAGGTTATAAAATCATTGTCATCGTATACATATGTCATAAAAAAGAGCAACCATAATATTATATACTTTGTATTTTCTTAGGTGCTATCATCACTTCTGTCTAGAGATACTATCTTGTTTTTCAGTGGGCTATTCCTAATTTTTACTAAAACCTGTATCCCACTGAACTGTGAATCATGAAATAAGGAACAAAATTTTTAAAAAGCTTTATTTAGAACTTGCAGTTAAAAAAACAGGCTTACTCTCACCAGAAAAATACCATTTTGGAGCTTTTATGTTATCCAGACTCAGACACACATAGTAAAACAAAAGCTGCTGCAATGAAACGGCTGATCTCAAAACAGTGAGTAAATCTCCCGTCAGAGCAGCAGAGCACATGGGTCTAATCAACTGAATGCTATTTTAGCTATCAATGACAGAAGTAAGCTACTGCCTATTCAGCTGTTTGGCAAAGGAGACACGCTCATTTTTTTTCCCAGAGCAATTTGTAATCATCAAGCACATAGGGAGACTTTATTAACAAAGTGATTTTCAAGACACCAGCAGGAGTCCTCTCTGTGTTAACCCCAATAAATTAAGTGTGCATGGCACATTCCACCTTAATCAAAAGAACACTCCCCAAAACATAAACACATTCCTTTTATTCAGCATTTCTTGTGATTAAGTCATGGCACCATTCAGTACTGGTTTTCTCCAGAGTGTGACATCAGTACGGAAGCAGCTCTTCAAGCTCCCCCATACAAAAAACTACTCATAAAACTAGAAACTACACATATAAGACATTTTTTTCAGAAAATATCTTTGAAGAAAGATTCAAATCTCTCATCTTAGGGAATAATTTACCACTGATTCCAGTAGATATAGGACCACATAATTGGTCTAGATGTAGAATTACTTTTCCAAATAGGCAAAAATGACAATTCTTAAATGATCAGTATATAGCTGCCAAGTCAATGTATCTTACTTCATACAGTCCATTGTCCTTCCACTCTGAATATACCTTTCCTCCCTAAACTCTGGTGACCTGTTAATGGAGAGATAATTTTTTTAAGTTTTCTTATTCTATAAGCAGGTTTCACATTCCACTTGGCATTTAAAGAAAGTTAAGACAAAATTTAGATGCTGTAATGCACAAACCATCTCCACCATAACATTTTCTCAATAAAACCAATTTTTCCTCTTGCATTAATGTGCAAGTCTACCCTTCAAAATATTTTTTAGCTAAATGTTGTATATTTTTAAAAAATATATTCCAGAGACTAGGTGGGAGGTGTAACTGTAAAAATTTTCTTCTAATGTTCTGGCCTTCATGCTTTGTCCTCCATGATGGTAATATTGCTATGGTCATGTGTGACAACTCATTTGTTTTGTCCCCTAAAACACACTCCTATGGGATTTTTCATTGCATATATACCCATACATGATTACAGCAGAAGCAACATCTCAAGGTAACATCTGAAAAAGGTTTTGATGAGACAGAACTTGAAAAAATTAGTTCAAGTTAATGTTTTCCATTGCCATGGTATTCCTGAGCAGTATCTATGTGTTTATTTGGCAGTAAGTTTTTACACAAACTTGAATCTCTGTAGTTTATGGAAATTGGATTTGTCCTTTAAATTCTTGTAAAAGGTAAGATGGAAGTAAAAGAGATGGGAAGAATTATATAGAACTAATGAATAATAATGAAATAATTATTAAAAAATATTTACAGTTGCTGTATGCTGAGTTTATAGCAGAGCAGAAGTTCAAGAGAAAAAAAATTAGTGTCAGGAAAAATGGACTGTGAAAGAAGGGAGAAAGGAGCCACATCTGAAACAGAACTTTGTCACTTCTGAAACTCAGTGAACAACACAGTGACCATTTGTAATCCCAGAGCGGGGTGCTTAAAATGCCTCTGCCTCTCAGTACACTATGTGGCTTGTAACTATGTTCAAACACCAAACCCTGCCCTAAAATTTCACCAATACATGTACTTGGGAGTAGCTCTGTCTGCAATGCGGAAATAAATCATGAAAATGAATTACATTTTACTTTTCATTTTTAGTATACAGATTTGGCTAGCTAAAAATGGGACTATTAGCTGCCTGTATAGCTGGTCTTAACAAATTATCTGGTAAAAAGGCAATGGTATTACAAATGTCTAAAATAAATTACATGGCAAAGACTTACCATTTTATAGAAGCACATTCAGTTACAATCTGATTCTAAGTGTAGAGATACTTTTATGTAAATCCCTAAAATATCTGCATATTCTTATGGCTAAGCCTTTATACTGCATTTTCTTTTCAAGCACAGGTAGGAGAAGAGAACAGTGGAAATGTAGGAACAAAGGGTCCCTGGAAGCAGTTTCAAATGGGAGAAATGGCAGGGCATGGTGGGACTGCAGCACAAGGCCTCCACTGCATCGTGCACAGTTCCTTGCATTTTTCAATGACAGTGTGGGAGTTTCCAGAGCGTGCCTGCCCAGTCTTCCTTTTAGGGGAGTAGAAATTATGCTAGCCTTAGCTTCAGAGCAGGTAGAAGGGAGGGAACTCTGTCAATGTTAAAGCTCTTTTGGTCAATAATGAACAGACTAATTAATTTTGGTATTTAGCTAAACAAGATTTGAGTTGGATCAGCTTTCCAAAGCTCACAAGACACCTGTGCAAACAGTTACACAAAATTTGAGGGCAGGGCTTGAGGCAGGAATGCAGAGTTGAAGAGACATGAGAAAGCCAAGACAGAGCCATAAACTGCATATGTGGTTATGTCTAGGATGAAGACATAGGAAACGTGGAGCAGAACAGTCCTGGCACGCTGCAGGCTCATTCAAACCTCCTCTCTGGTGCAAGGCCTGCGAGGGCTCATTCACCTTACACAAAATACATCACATTCTGCCAGTGTTGCCTTCCTGCAGGTAAAAGGGCTGGGTGGCCCTCAAGGAAATGGTTTGGGTTTTAATATATGTTTGTTTTCTGACCAAGCCAAAACAGCCCAAGTTTGAAGTTTAACTGCAAAACGAAAGACAATCTTAGAGCCACCCTATCCAGCTGCACTGAAGATGTAAGATTTTGCTGTAGGTTTCAGGGAGAATCCTAACACAGTCCCTACTGATTGATGCATTTAAAAAACAAATCATCTAAGTGGGGAAAAAAAAGTTTAATAGCATGTATCTTGTTGCAAGTTTTCATGAAGGTTATTTTAATAATCATTTCTTTTCTAATTTCCAGGCTTTCCTAAGGTTCTGCATTAGCATTCATCTTAGTGGCAAAGCTTAACTAATTGCATCAACACAGATTTATTATCACTCAGCAAAATAATGTTTATTAAATTCTTTTCAATTACAAACACAGTTTTAAATCATAGAAAAGCAAATGGCTTACATGGCTTATAAAAGGCCACAAATGTTCAATGAATATGTTTGTTTATTATATTGAAAACTGCTATATTTTGAGAGCTTCCTTTTTATCAAATGCTAAATTCATTAAGTAGATTTGGGCCAAATCTCTTAATGCAAGTATGGGATACCTACTTCTAGCTAAAAAAAAAAATCAAAAGTATAGGGTTTTTTATAAAGTTGTCCTTTAATTTGCCATACAAGTACACCAGCATTACAGCTATGACTATGATTTAACTTCTATTTCTTGCCTGCATGAAAAGTTTCTATGCACAAATTCTGACAGAAGTATCAGAGAATATTTTAGTTCTAGGCCCTGGTATATAATACAGCTTGAAATATCTGCCTTATAAATAGAAAAACATGCAGATGAAGCATAGGCTTTCTCAAAGTGTCACTTTATTTTGATAATTAGTAGATCATTATTTTTTTATAATAGTTAAATATTTTGGTAATACTTTACAATGTATTTCTACTTAATTTTTAAACCAAGTCACTCTTTTTAATGATAGGGATGAGTAAATGAGTCTTGTAATAATGATAGATTTCTCTGTATAAGCTATTTTTCTTTATAAGCCATCAAACTGAATGGAGCAAACAATTAAAGATTTATCACACAAAGTAGAAAAATAGCCTTGGATTTTAAGGCAGTTTTAATTGCTTGTATTACACTGCAATAACCCATGTGATAATCCAACCTTTTCATAATTAAATGATGACAGCTTGAAATCAGAACTGTCTGAAGATTTTCAAACTTTTAAACAAGAGTTTCAATTCTGACACAGTTCAAAGGAAAATTGATAAGGAAAATACTGTCATAATTAATATAAATTTCATTCAGTGGGTTTATAAAGCAGAGTAATGTCCTAAAAACAAGCTTAAACTTTATTTTTAAAAGCAGGTTATGCAGTATGTTGAGTAAAAGGGAGATGATATTCACCTTAAGGTGCTGAATCATGGATATTTACAGCTTGATTGGGCATGAATAACTCACCTAAATCCCTTAAAACATTTATTTTACCTGAATTTTTTTCCAGGACTCAAAGATTTTGAATCCTAAATTCAGGCAATAGTCTAAATATCTGTACTGAAAAAAAAGAGTTCAAAAATATACTGAACATGAATCTTTAGACTGGAAAACAGACAAAACCCATTATGAATATTTTAAATGTGCAGTATTGTGGGGTTTTTAATAAATATATATACATATAATCTTATTCTACAGTAGCAAACAGCCAATTTCTTTTATCTGAAAATTTAAAAAATTGATATAAAGTGGAAACCTTCATAACAGAAGTGGCTTTCAGATATTTTTAACACACAAAAGCTATCACTCTTCAGCCTGTGCCTAGTCATGCTTCATATTTACAATATACATAAAATTAAATACATCTAAGATTTCAAGATATTATGATTGTGCCATATACGCTGGAGATTTCCTAAACTTTGAGAGCTTTCCTGTATACAGATCACAGTCGTGTTGTTTCTCAGTGACTTAGAGTGTAAGCACAATCCAATCATTGGCAACAGCTTAATGCACAAAAAATGGATTTTTGAGTGAGGTAAAAAATGTTACAGCTGAACCCACTATTTTTAAAATAAACTAATTCAGTCATTTTCAAAATCCTAATATGCTCTTTCCCATTTAAACATAGGACTGGTGATGGTTTTCAACTGGCAGCCTCTAAGTAAATGAACCACTGAGAAATGGTTTGAGAAATTCTCAAGTTTTATAGGTAGCCATGATCCAAAATTTTAAAGCAATGGAAATACTAAGCAGCTTTTTTCACCATGTCATCAGAAAGCCACTGAGTAGAAATAAATTATGGATAAACTACACCTTATTCAAAAGGATTTATGTTTTTCTTTCTATTCTTGCCAATATTTTCAAGGACAAATTGAAGAACAAACAACATCTTTGCTAAATTTGAGAAAAGTTACATCATAAAGCATAAGTGATGCCTTTTCTATTTCCCTGCAGAATATTATACCCATCCATGGTATAAAACTGTGACCAAAAAACTGTGTCTGGTGAAAGCTAAATCATGTCCCCAGCAAGGTTCAGTTCCATTGGCATGAGCAGTCTATGGGCTCTTGAATGACGTACAGAATTTCGGTGCCGTTTCCTGAGCAGCGCAAGGGCACAGTCAGGACTCGCGTTCCAATTTCTCGACAACATTTACAGAATCTTAGATGGCTATCAATATTGACATTGAAAATTGTTGCAGATGGGCATTTTCCATCACAAGAAGCCACATTTACCTATAAGTAAAATAAAAGAAAATAAGAATAAGAATTAAAACTGGAAATCTCAAATTTTATTCTAAAAATATTACACTTCAGACTTCTTTTTGATTAAATCCATTTTTACATTTGAAATGGACTCTGGTCTTAAAAATAATTTTATCTTCTAAAATTCATTCATTCTAAGTTTTTTAAATTTAACTTTTCTTTATTGTTTAATCATGTGTTTTGTTTCAACCTCGTGCTATGGATACCAAAATTGAATCCCCATTTACAAATTAATAATTTTGGAACAGCATAGCTGAATCCACGTCTATTTCATGTTCACTGATAAAAAGTTAAATTCTTCTAAGTAAACTGAAGGGAAGTTTATCTTTCTCCTTGAAAGAGAAAAAGCATTATCAATGCAAAAGTTTTTCCCACTGCTATTTATACTCTTTGTGACTGAGGGCTGTGTTATCACTCAAAGAAATATATAAAAAAGCAGATGAAATAACAAACCAGCTAAGGCACATATTAGCTAGAAAATTACTTGTGCTCTAGATTTCACCAGAGCCAAGTTGTCTATCATTGTTACATTATGTGAAGAATTTTCTTAGCTGATATGTTGAAAGAAAAAAAAATATTTTTAATTAAACTTAAGCAGAGTTCAAATGCTGGGAAATCAAGGATGGATATACAAGGTCTAGTTCTCTTTGTGACAGACTTAAATCTAATATCTTCTGCAGGTGAAGCATATGAAAGGTGCTTTGAGCTACTCCCAAGCCTGTGATGAAACATCTCATTCCCATACAAATTAGACTAAAAGATTACTTTTGAAATTTCCTGAGATTTGACAGGAGTAAGAAAAGAGTTTGTCCTAAGCATTATCAAGCCCATTTATTAATTACAAAATGCAATCATGCTCAGCCCTATCCAGAGTTTCACAGCAGTAGTCTGGCCAAGAACATATATGTAGTTCCGAGCCAGTCACAGCAGATACCACCATTTGATGGGCCAAAATCACATGATGGAAAAGAGTGACAGTGGGGAAGCTGGAGAGGAAAAGAAGGGGAGTTTAAGGTATGAGGGCATGAAAATCTGGAGGTACTTCTGTGTGAAGGATAAGGGAATATGGACTGTGTGAAGGATGCGCAGCCACCAAGGAAATTTGGAACAAGTAGATACCAGGAAAGGGGACTCTAATACAGATAAAGGTGGGATGGTGGTAGGTCTTTTTGGAAGGTGGGTAGAGAGGGAAGAAAAGATAAAGAGTTTATAACAGAAAGATGAAAAGGAAGGCTTCATTTGTTGTGCCATTCAATACATGACCTGGCCAACATTCTTGTTGCTCATCTCTGAATGCTTTATTTCTGCAGCAACCAGAGCTGAACAGAGCCCTCTCTCATACTGCAGCATTGATTTGTAAAAGACACTGCAATGAGCTTGTTTCCACTGCCTATCCATTTGCCTGAATGCCACAAATTTTAGCCTTTTTGTCTGCAGGAGAGCAGAGATGGTCACAGAACTAGATGAAAGGGCAAGGATCTTTACACCTGGCTTAAAAAACCCTATGAGGTTTGATTTCATCTTTCATATTAATATTCTTTATTTAGTCTATACCATGTCTTTATTTTGTTGTATCGCTGTCTCCTACCCTAGGTTGTTGAAGTAACACTGAAGCTCTCCAGACTCATTTCTTAACTATGACAAAATAATTTCATCTATATATTTATGCTCCCTTATTATCAGTCCTTCTAAAATTAAATAAATACATCATGCACTCCTACAATTAAAATCTGAAGATGCCACCACTGACCTTCTAACAGGTTGGCTTTTAACATGTGGTGACATTTTGCCTCTTCCCTAATGACTGATTAGGTTCTCAACAGAATCTTGCCAGACGCCGTTTGGAAATCTTGAGATACTTTGTCAATTGCTTCCCTTCCAAGTGCTCCATGAGTAGCACATTTCCTGCTTAGAAATTTCCTGGGGTCTGTAGATTGGGCCACACCAAAGCTGAGAAATAAGGTGTTTTAAGCAGACCCATAAATAAATGGCATTATGAATTTATTACATGGAAACCTATGCTATGTGAGGGAGAAGACAGAGAACATAAAAGTCTTCAAGGAGGAATGCAGCAGTGTTTCATCATATTATAAGCTGAAACATTTCTGCTCCTCTTTTAGAGCAGGATATTATTTCATGCTAAAGAGTTTAGTGCCTTCATTAGTTAAAGTAATTTTAGTCAGTATTTTTCATTTGAAGCCAGATGTTTCTCCAGGCAGGGCTCAGTCTTTTAGAAATAGAAATAGCTAGTTTTACTCCATTTATGGTAGGATAACATTCCTAAAGTCAAGAGTCTGCTTTTGAGAAGAAAGCAGCATTTTTTGTTGCTTGTTGTTAGCTATAACCAACTTTCTGATGCATTGAAATTTTATGCTTACCGGGCTTTGACTTATACAGTCATTTTTTCTTATGGTTGTCCTGATTGTCATTTTCTGGCATATCCTTTCTTCCTTTTTGCCTGATAAAACACAAAAAATTGCATACTTAATCAATACATTTTCAGTAATGTATTTGCTTCTTAAAAAATTAAAGATAATAACATAATTTAAATACTTATATTTTATTTTCATTAATGTACACCCAGAAATTATTACATCCACAATTTTCTTTTTAAATATAATATATTAATACATAGGTGCTGTGCAGTATTACCTATTTTTAGGCGGCACATATGAGCATCAAATGCTCCAAATAAGCTATACAAATTTTTTTAAATTATACTATGAATATGCTTCATAGTTTATAAAACTATAAACTATAAACATGTTTTTAAATTGCACATATGGCAAGAGAAATATAAACAATTAGAAAAAAAATGTATTGTATCCCCAATTTTTAATAGTATTAGAATTAATTCTTTGAAATGTTGAATGCAAATAGGATTTTGATCCTGCCTTTTAAAAACTTATCAAAACTTAACATCTAAGAAGGTGAAGGTGTGAATGTGATTACAATCTTCATGCTATTTTTCATTACTAAAAATTAAATATAACTATATTATTTCAATATATTTTTGAGAAATATGCCCTTTTAGGAAGCTCTGAAATAATGACACTAATTTATTTGCTAAATATGGTGCACTTTTTATGACCAGATCTGAAGCAAGTAGCACATGAGGTCAGCATATATCAGATCTAGGATGAGGGAAGTACTGAATTTTTATATCCAGTTGTGGACATATTGATAGGAGGGTTTTGGGTTTTTTTTAAATTTGAAAAATAAAGCTGTAGAGTGAAAAGCCATTTTTAAAACATAGTCAAAGTCATAATACTATACTGAAACAATTGAAGATATAATCTTTCATGCTTCACCCTGTATCAGACAATTATTACTATCTGTGTAACAGCAGTTATTTAGATCTTCTCATCCACTACCCATCAAAATGATCTGTTAGTTTTGCTGTGTAACCATTCTGGACATACAGCATATAAAATAAGAAGCACTATTCAGTAGTTCCTTGACCTTCCTGCAAGGTTGGAAAAACAAATCTTCTGTTCTCCAGAAGCCTGAGAGCACTTTTATAAGATAAATGATCTCTGAGTAACCAAGATATTCTGCAACCACAGCTCCATTAAGTACTGAGTAATTAAGTTGGCTGCAGACTACAGATAGATTTTAGGAGATACATTGAAGACTCAAACAAAATTCTGTTACTGAACTAGCAGATCACTGTATGAGAGAAGTTGTTAGACTATAACATCTTGCTTTCCTTCCTCAGAAACACTTAAAAATTTCTGTGATGTTTCAATATGAAAGTGTTTGCCAGCTTATATGTAGACAGTGCAATCTTTGTACTGCTACAAATCATATAGAGATTCATATCTAACATTTCAGCATATAAAGTGCTGATATCTTATGGAAGCTCTGCTGTTAGACTTTCCTCTCTTCAACCTTGAACTGTAAAGGTCTGCATTTCAGTATCAAATGTGCTTTATCTACTCACTCCTTATTTGAGGAAGGAGTTGTTGTGACTCATCTGTACTAAAAAGCAAAGAATTATGAATGTACTGCAATAATTCTGTAACATTCTGTAATATCTGGTATAAAAAGTGTGCATGGCCATGGGGTTGAAATTGTATGTGTTATGTCCCCCTTCCCACCCCTGCCCTCAACACTTTCATAACTCTGCAAAACATATTATTTGTGACAAGGAAAAAATACAGCATAAATCCATATTTGCAAAGGTGAGACCAGTCTGTAACACACACTATTGCTCTATTTTAAAGGAAAAATATTTCCACCATTAAATTTAGAGACCTGGGATCAGATTTATAATCTCTTGACAACAATATTCAGAATTATGATTTTTTTAAAGTAACATTTCTTATTAAAACTGCCCTCTACAGTAATTCATGAGATAAAACCAGTTTCAACAATGAGCAGCAGGAATAACCATCAACAGCATATACCAGAAATGGATGAACCTAATTCTGATAGGTGCTGAGTAGTGAATCTTAACCAGGCTTTAGAAAACCACTGATTTGGGAGGCCAGCAGAGGATCAGCATCTCTCAGTATCAGGCCCAGAACCATTAACTGCATGGTAATATCCAATAATGACGACAGCTATGACATACATATCAAGTTTATATTATTTTCCAAAAAAAAAAAAAAAAAAAAAGAGAAAGAAAATACATTATTAAAAATAATACCTGGTTCACAATTAATACTATCAGTAGGCACTACTGGACTAATGGCAAAGGGCAATAGACCCAATCCAGAACCTGGCAGAATCATTAGGAATAGAAGATTCTCATGAAATAAAAACATTTCTGTATAAATGATACTTCATTAATTCTTACACTGCCAACTGCAATTTTTCTTTTATCAAAAGATAATGATCTTTCCTGTTTGTCTTCTACAATTCAGAAACTCTGCAGCTGCTTCGAGTCTCACTAAAGATGGCCTATACTTTATTACTCTCCTGGTTAACACAAAACTGGAATGCTTCCTTTTAAACCAAACTTTTTGAATTAGTCTGTCTATGGCAAGGTAAGAATTAAATATATGCACTCACTTTGCATGCACTAAATCAAGCTCTTTCAGAAAATTTATTTGCTCCCATTAAAATCCCAATGTGTTGCAAGCTCTATTCATAAGTTTATCTTAACTGCTTCACCACAGGGCACATGCTTTTAGTTAAAAATAACACAAAATTTTAAAAAATAGCATTTAATTGTATGAATGATATCTGGCAGTTTTAGCAGCCACCTCAGCCAGTATTTCTGAAGTATAACAATGCCTTTCCTGAGGCCACAGAATATGGCCAAAATTATAAATCTTCCTGGTCAACACAGAACCAGCAGTCAATAATTTAAATAATTTTAAGACTAATTTTCTAAATAATGACAACCTAATTTTTTTTTTTTTTTGGGTGGGGGGCAGATTTTTTTCACACAGTTTATATCATGAGATAAAGATTATTGAATAATAAGATTTTAGTACAATTCATGTATGCTGCTTCTCTATGGTGATTCTCAGTAATAAAACATATCCTGTTGCATTAAAATACCTTTCATTTTCCATGTTTTGGTTACAATGGAACAACAATATTTGCAGTTTCCTTTCTAAGACTCACACAGCTTGGAAACTTGGTATTGCTCTGTATTTTATAAATATCACTATTTCTTTTAATTCTCCAGATTATATTAAATATATTGCACTTCAGTTTTATATAACAACTGTGCAATATATAGTTATAAGTCTGCAACTTGCTATTCAATAATATTAAATAAGAATTTGTATACAAAGACTAATTTGCTTTTTCTCTAGTATTGAACACAAAAAAGGCCAAAACAGAGTTAAGATTTTCTTTAATGTTGAACATGTCCTTGTTCTGCAGAATTAGTTTTACAAAACAGTGTATTATATATATACACACATGCATAATGATATAAATAGATAATATTTTTTTTTCAAAACTGCAGAGAAAACCAGTTTGTTCTCAATCTTTTTAAAATTGCATAAATTGTGAAACCTTTATGTCATCAAGTCACATTTAATCATATTTTAAAGTTACATGCAGAAAATGTAAATGTATTACAAGATATTAAAAGGCTGATTTTATACAAACATTTCTATCATCAGTATTACTCTAATTTTTCCTTATTTGGGATTTAATAAAAAACATCCCAGCATTTTGGACCTAAAAAATACATATTAGGATGCAGAATAAATTGCTAAGTTGGAAGATGTATTGCAAAATGTCATTGAATCAGGAATCACTTTTAAGAGGAAAGATTCTTGTCTTTTAAGGTGAAGATCATATAGGCACTATTTGAGAACCAACTTAATGATAATGTTTTAATTGTTTTAATTGAGACAGTTTCAATCTTCCATTAGTTATATTTTGAGAGATTTAATTATACTCCAGAACCATAATGTTAAAAATCACCAAGTCAGCAGCCAAATTAAGCAAGATCTTTTAATAAGAGTAGTTAGGTGAATACAACAATTTTATGTGATTTGTAGGGGGAACTGCATGCTTTTTCCCTCTTTAGGTCCCAGCAACTGAAAGTATAAGCCCTCCAAAACCAAAGCCAAACTAGCACATATTGCAGCCTTTATCACTTACAGGTCTTGCAGCAGCCATCATTATACGAGTCCACAATTCCTCCATTCTAGGAAAATAAAAGAAGAATATAGCAAAAAAGCCTGGGTCCAATGCAAAGGGAAATTGTATCTCAAGACATTCCACATTTTAAAGATATCAAACTAATATAAAGTAGTGCCAGTGAAATCAACAGAATTACATAGATATGTATCAGCTGAAGGTTTGTTTCACAAATTCTTTACAGCCTTTGAAATTGAAAATTAACCCATCACTGATGAGAAGTTCAATTTTGTTCAGTTGACATCTGATCTAGTTGCCTTTGAAGAAGTCACTTAGTTTCTATAAGCACATTTTTTATATAATCTACTACCCTCTATTTCCCCACCATGGATATTTTTCAGCTTCTATCTTTTTATGCGAGCATATATATTTACTTCATTACATTGAATAAGTTGTTCAAGAACTTCTTAAAAGAGCACTTAAACTCAAATATTCCTGAATTATCCTGATCTGCCTGTGACAAAAGTTTTCTTCTCAGCTACTGGTTCAAGCCTAAGTCCAGCGTCTCTCAAAAACAGGTCAGACTGGTTCAGAAAGTTAGTTTTAGGGCTCCATTCTTAAAAATCTGACACCTAATAGATGGTGTCAGAATGGTTCCAAGAAAGAAACTCAAGCGATTGACTCAAAGTAGTATAGGCAATATTTTTAAATAGAATACCTTCTTCAAGACTGGAAGAAATAGGAACTTTTTTGAACAAATGGAAGGGATAAGTAGGACTAGTAATAAATGTATAATCTGTAGTCAAGGCAGCAATGGTACTTACCCTTTCTACATATATATTTAGTATTATTTGTAGCTCATATTAAATTTAGAATGTACTGCAAGTGAAAAATTCTCCGAGTATTATAAATTTAGAGAATTACTAAATTAGAAATTAAACTGCAAATAAATATGCAATCTTTGTGAATACATGTTCTTCAAAGCAATAAATCAGATCAAATTTTGGATTTATTGATCTGATTTATTTATTGTGTATGTTCTCTGAACTTGGCAAAGTATTGTTCCAAAATAAGGTATGACATAGTGATTAGCACTTTTTATAGCGGTATGTCATGCATGATTCCAGTTCCACAATATTCTAAAAGCAGTCATCAACAATACCCAAGCCAAATTTTACACTCCTCACTGATACTTTGTCAGCTGGAAAGAAAACAGGAGTATAGCAAATGACTGCAGATTGCTCATTTATATGCTTTTACTTACCACTTTTTAAATTTAAAGTAAGTGCATGAAGTTTGCCTGCATTGTGGAGTGTAAGCTAAACTCCAGAGCAATTATTGTCACTTACCTTACCGAAAGTACAAACCTTTATACACTCAGTGTCATTAAATGGGGGACAGACAACACTTGACCCCATTACAATAGCCCCTGCAGCAGTCTTTACACATTTGTAGTTGGTGCAGTTTGAAGTCCAGGTGCTTCCTTCCTGAATATATAAAACAAAGCCTTTGTTAGGAAAGCCAAAACACTTCAGCTTTATCTCCAGCCTGAAATGTCTATAAAAGCAGTGCCCTCATGCTGTAGCATCTACTGGAGTGGAAAGTCTGCTGCAGACCACCTTTGTGTGGCAAAAAGGAAAGACCATGCAGTAGGACACACATGCTCAGCAGCAGAGGCTACTCCTCCCTGGAGCCGTGGCTCTACTCTCCAGCATGCTGCTGAGCATGGGTGTCCTACTGCAGAATGAAAGGACTTTGTGTCAGTTCAATCATTTATTTTGCACTGAAATCAACTGGAAGTATGAACCCAGTCATGGCCACATCTAAATTTCTGTGTATGTGAATGCTGGAACATACCATCAAGATCCTGAACCCCAGAGCCTCAATTTGCACTTTTCTGTTCTGTAGTAACTAGCAGGAAGAGAAGAGTGGCCCTCAGAAGAGGGGGACATAGAAGTCATGATGTCGGCTTAGAAGCTCTCAACACATCTAAATCATAGTACCTAATATAGAGTTACAATTTGAACCCTGCTCTGCAGTTAGAGCATATCCAGTCTTAAGTAAATGATGACATGTGCAGATCTTCACAGGAAATATTACAAGCAATAAGATATTTACATCTGTTAAATGGCAGGTCTTTAGATAAAGACACTCATTTCCAATCATACATCATTAATAGCCTCTAAGTGTGTAACCGCCAGTACAGAAGTAGGAAGCAAGAATGACAGCATGAGTTAATTAAGAAATGCCTGTCAGACTCCTTTCTATTGTATCATTACAGTTACTTCTTATCTCTGTTCAGAGGCGCTTACCTCATACACAATAAGCGTTCCATTCTCTGTATGAAAAGAGCAGGACACGTTTTGACACGTACCACAGCAAGTATGGAGACTGAAGGAAGGAATATATACTTGATGCTGGAAAGAAAGGAAGGAAATAGACAAACTAGTACTTTTTAAACATACATTGTATTACACTTCTTTGATTTCTGAAATTAAAAACACCAAGGAAAACAGTGGATGAATGGATAGATGGATGGATGGATGGATGGATGGATGGATGGATGGATGGATGGATGGATGGATGGATGGATGGACAGATTTGTTTGCACAGGCTGCTAGAAATTGCCTCTCAAAATAATTGTGTAGACACTAGATACACATCATCACTGCTAAATTCTCAAGTTCTTGCTAAGTAAACAGGACTAGCAAAAGTCTTCACTAAAACTTTTATCCTAGTTGTGCAGTTGTGTTCACAAATTGCACCCATTACTGTATTTTAAGAATACTCACAGCTTCACATTGTTGGGAACAGTTCATCATTGTGAAATGCATGGCATTGTAACCTGTGTTCTGATCTTTTTCTTGTAAACACTGCACAGTGTAACAAAGGTCTCCATCCAGGTACTGAATCACTGACTGCCCAGGATTCAGTACTGTGACCTCTTGGAAGATGCATACATCATCCTTCTCTAAAACCAAAAGAAATAGATGTTACCAGTGGGGAAAAAAGAATCATGAAACAAATGAACAGAGCCACTGGTAGGACAGAAGTAAGGCAAATTCCTATTCACTGCAAGTCTTTTAGACTTGATTGGTTTGTGGTTCTAAGTACAAAACAAGAGTGGAAGGAATGCTAATTTCAGTTTTTTCTGAATGGTAATTCAGAAAATTCTGCAAAATGGAAAACTGCCTAAAACTGATAGTGTTCCTACTATAGAAGTAGAAGTCTGTTGTTCTTATTTAAGAACAACAAGTTCCAATATTTAACATTCAGCTATTCTGCACATCACAAAATGTAGCCTTTCTGTCAATTAAACTACTCTGTCTGCAAATGCCTGTGGTCCAGTAATCTGTCCGAGCTGTACCATAAATATGTGCTTGGCTCTTGGAGGCAGTCCAGCCTGGGCTGCTGCCAGGACTACAGCTTGCCTCAGCACCCCCATGCACAGTGCAGCCAAAATCTACTCTACATGGGTAGGTGAGTGAGGGAAGGGAGCAGAGCTCTGATCTTGAGACAGGCTACCTCCTCTTGTGCTGGCTGAGCAGGCCTGTTGCTCTGTGCAAGATGCTGTCCCATTTGTGTTGAAAGCAGACTAGGAGCAGCTGCCCTGCTCACACTCAGCTACCGTTCACAGCCTGTTTCCTACTTGTCTCTCACCAGAGAGGCTGTACCTGACCCTGAAAGCATGGGCAGTTCTACAACACTCCCGCACTCTGCCAGAGTAGACACAAAATGGATGGGTTATCAAGTAAAGCACCATATTCAGAAAAGAGGGTATCATTGCATAACTACATAGACACACATCAAATTAAGATAAAAGAACATTTACATTTGAGAAGGTGGCAATGACCTTAGTTCTGATTTCTTTGCACACTCTTTTAATTAAAATTAAAACATAACAATGAGGAATAAGAAAAAGTTACCACAAATGTAGTGAGTGCATCCACAAGCACTGGAAACACTGCTATCTATTTTTTTAACTTCTCCCTGAGTACAGAAAGATAAAAGTTTGCAAAGTCATGCACAATTAAATGTAGTGCTACACAGACAATTTTTCTCTAAAAATTTAAAATATTACTTTCATCACTTCCACCTCTAGTTTCATAAAAGAGTAAAATTGCAATGTACTCAAGAAACAGTAGCACATTTAGAGTTATTCAGTGTATTGATCTCTTAAAACAGAAAACAGCACTTTATTTTCTGTAGGGGTGCATAGAATATCAGAGTCAATAAACAGGATTTTTTCCTGAGATACAAAGTTACTTCTATAATAAATATATTAGCAAAAGATTGTCTCCTAAGTATTTTCTTCTAAAAGATAGGTGAAAGCTTTTAAATCTAAAATTCCTCAATAGACTTAACATTAAACCCCTTTGTCTGGGTTCTGTTTAATGCTGTCTTCACATGAGAAAAAAACTTCAGGCATTGGATAAGGAAAATATGGTCACTATGGTATTAATGGGAGCTTGAACATTCACTCATAATTATTTTCCAGCTCACAGTCCCTATTATGAAAAACTACATGAGGACCAAAATATTTGACTTCTCATATCAGCAAAATTCAAGAATGATAAATAATTTTAATCAAGTGCATATATTATTAATAAAATTACACATTTCTTCAGATGATACATATAATCATATATCTTATACGTCATTAATTATTTTTAAAATGTGAATTATTTATGTGGAAAGCCTTACTAGCATATTGTTTCATGTTAACACTGAACAGGATAGAATTACAATTGCTTCTTTTCTTTTTCCACCTTACAACACACAAAGTGAAATTTCTCCAAGGAATGGTTGACAACACCATGCAGACACTTGGAATTACTTGCTTGAGCTGGGACTGGAGGGCAATCCCACCCTGTCCCTGTTCACTCTTTACAACTGACTGAAACAAGGAGTGTAAAAGAGAGGCATGAGACAGTTCAACACCATTACTAACAGTATTTAAAGACACCACTTACCAATTTGCAGGTCAGCATGGTAGCATTTTCACAACTACACTCTGAGGAGATAAAGAAATCTGTGTTAATCAATTAGCTAACTGTTAGTTTTGGTTAAGAGTTGTGACTAAGGAATAAAGCAATAATTACCACAGTGCCATTCTGGACAACATTGCCCAAGTATTTTTTCCTTCACAGGTGTCATGTCATCTGTGCAAATCATAGGAGGCTCAGAACAAAGTTTTTCATCACAAACTAAATGAGGGGAAAAGACATATGAGAATTTATTCAACTTTCCTTCATGTTTGCCATCTTACATTACTTTTGATAAACTTTTTAAAATAAAACTATTTTATATAAATGTTATTGTTTCTTAAGCATCTGAACTATACTTGGAATGAAAAACTAAACAAAAATTTTCAAAAGTGATTTTAGTTTTCTTAGAACATGTTTAAATTTTCAGAAAATATCAAACAGGAATCATTTAATATTCCTCCAACTTCAGAGTTACTCAAGATAATAACCAGTACTAAAGACAACTAAAACCATACTCTTTGGGAAACATAGACTTGATACGTACTGTAAAGTGCCCTTCTGTAACATAACAGGGAGCAACTGCTCTCCAGGTATGATGCAAATAAGAAAATACTGTCTCCCTTATCAGAAGTATCTTTCTGTGACTGTGAAAAATCATGTACTAAGATTGAACTTTCTCTCTGCCAGAATTGGGGAAAAAAATGACAAAGGCCTTTGCAGAGAATTTCACCTGGGTAGAACTGCTAGGAAAGGAAAGGACCAAAATACAGAAACAACCAAAGTAAAAATTACTAAACTCCAAACTTAGTGAAAGTAAATTTAATTACTTGAAATTGCCCTGAAAGACTTCAATAAGATGAAAGATAATCTAAATTAGGCAGTTATACTTCTAGATGTTACTTTAAAATGTATAGCACAATTTATGTGTTTTATGAGACTATGAAAAGGACTAAGTTACGCTGCAAATATTTTTCTTCTGTCTGCTCACTGTTTGAAAAGTAGTCAAACCAGCAGTATTTGAAATGCTTGGTCTACTTCTTCCCCTAGGAGCTAAAAGTGCAAAGATACTGCCTTGACTAGTGAACTGTACAACAGAGGAAAACCAACATGGAAGCTGTTTTATTAAACATGTTTTAATATATGAACAACTGTATATTTGTACTCCAAGGATGGGATTCAGTGCCACATTAATATACTGGTATTTAAATCACTGTGAAGATGACCATATTTCTGTCTGGTGAACTGAATAACCTCTCCAGACTCTGCTGACTAGGTTTGTTAGACCACCATTGGGCATACCAAGAACTTTGAATTTGTGTCAAATTTGGTACCTCTACATCCTCATTTTGACTTCTCAGTCTATACCTGAAGCCCACTCTAATTGCCAAACCTAAACAAATCCCTGCACAGCCATGCACTGTCATTTTTACTGAATTTGGTGACATATCAAACTCACAACAGTTACACTCACCACAGTAGTAATGAGGACAACAGTAGTGTATGGTATTAAGGTCTACAGTGAGAATTTCCCCTTCACTACACAAGGGAACTGGTTCAATACAGGATTCACAAACTAGATTTAAAAAAAAGCAAAATAGACATGTAAAAAGTTTTAAATACTAAAAAGTTAGCGCATGTGAATTCCATCTAATAGACTATACAAAAGGCAATACTGCATTTGTTACTCAGATAATAAAACGTCTCAGGATTTTATGGATATAAAAGCTAAACAAAACTAAAACAAAGGTAAACAAATTTTTTGATGTTCAACATTATGTTGAAAAAAAAGATCCCCCAACCCAAGAATAATGATGCTCCAGTCCACCAGATCTGTGTGAAATCTCACTCCAAGAATTCTGCCTTGAGTTATTTATTTTAGAATTACAGTCTGTTTTTGTAAATACTTGACTATTTCTTAGCTCTCCATGAAAAATGTTAGAGGTTTCTTACCACAGAGATGAGAGAAACAACAGGGATCTTCCTGTTTTGCTTCAACAATAAACTGATCTTCTCTGCAGTCAGGCTGGGAGGCATTGAAACAAACTGAAGGATCACATTCTGTAGGATGTGAAAAAACCACTGTTTAAAAGGAGTCATTAAAACAATATGAAAAATATAAAGAAATATATGTTCTTCATAGGCTAAGTAAAACAAAATACCCCATATTGACTGTAAATCAGAAGTAACACAAAACACAAAGACAAAAAAAATACTGGAGAATGTTTAAAACAACATACATCATTTCCTAGTGCTATTTATAGTGTCCCATTCTGTTAACAATATGCTAACTTGTAATGCAAATTTTTTTCCAACATATAATACAAGTATGGAAAACTTTCCCCTAACTTGTATTTCCCTTACCACATCGGTACTGTGGACAGCAGGACAGGGGGTGGTAGCCTACCACTAATTTTTCATTGGGTTTGCATGTTGGAATAGCAGCATCACACAATGACATGTTACATTCTGTGGGATAAAAAACAATATTGATATCTTTAAACAGATACAAGTTCAAGTCCTGTAGGTCAGGCTATTTATACCATCTAATACAGAGATACACAAAACAAGAGCAGCCCAAGTCAGCTTAAAGTTCACTCCATACCATCATGTAGACTTTTGAGCTCAAGCAAGCAGTTATATCCCTCTTCAAACTGGTATTTACTTGCTCTGCTCCCTATGCATGAAGCCAACTATAATGTCCCACTGATATTACTTGAGCAAATGGACAGTACAGCACTGGTTACAGACATCTAGTAAGCAAAAGCACCACATCATCTGGACCATATGTTCTCATTTTCCTTAAAGACATAACGAATAAATTAGTATCTTTTTCTTAATGTTTTAGGAGCAATAAGCTTATTCTTTCTTAAAAACCATGGCGAGGCAGAATATTAGTATTCAGTGATCAGCTCCCAGAAAGCAGCTTCTGGGAAACAGCAGAAGATCAGAGGACACTGCTCATCACATCAAAGCACTAGAAAGAAAAGCAAGCAATCTCTGACAACATCCTCAAATACCAAGGTACTTCTATAATTGACTATACATCAATTTATTATTAAATTCCATGCAAGAGCTTAAAAAATAATTAACAGAAGTTTTGTTTAACTGGTGGACTTCTAAGTAAAAAGTTATTTCAGTGAATAATTCTTATAAAGAATAGAACCTCAAACGCTGGCCCAACCAGACGCAATTTTTTAATTCTAAAAACCAAAAAATGTTACCTTGAATCTAAAGTTTGTCAGCTGCCTCTGAATGTAAAGCACTTATTTTATACTTCTGTTACAGAAAACAAGTGTGGTACATACCACAAACTTTCTTGGGACAGCAAGCTCTCTCTTCAATGACATGGAGTAGAACTTCCCCTTCTCTTTCGCAGAGTGGTGGTGGATCCTCACTGCACTCAGGTTCTACAGCAATAATGCTTCCATTTTCTAAACAGCCATACATGCAGCACCCCCTCATGGATCCATTCCAGATCTCCCCAGGAGAGCGGGGTTGTCCTTTATTATCTGTACATGCTGGAAGAAAAAAAAAAATTCTATCCCAAGCAGACAGGCAGACAACTCTCATTTCCTGCAAGCAGCTATGACTTGCACAAATTCATTGCATAAAATAATATGGCTGTGGAGCATTACAATAAAAGAATTCAAGAAAGGAGGATGACCTTAAAAGCCCCAAAGGAACAGATGCTTTTCTATGGGTGAAAGTGGGTGAGGGCAAGCTATCCTTTCCAAAGTTTTCAAGAGAGGAAAGCCTGGGAGCTATAGAAGAATGACCATCACTTTTCCCCCAACAGAGGTACATCAGCACTGGCTCTTAAAGCCAAGTTAACTGAAAGCACAAACTGCTGTAGCTTGAGAAGAAGGCAGGCTCTCTGTTGAAGGGACCTTTACCAGATTCACAGTTACTGAGGACTGACATAGAACTTAAGCTTATCTCTTACCATGAGCTATTAATATAACTGAGGTTAATACTATCATAAGTGCAAAACTACTCTGTCTTACAGTACTTACTACATTTTTCTTCTGGTATACAGAGGTCAGAGTCTGTTCTATGCAGAATGGTACCATTTTTACACACACAATCTTCCCTTAAATAGGAACAGGGAGAATCTTCATAGAACCATTTATTCAAGCATGTCTTAGCTTCACAGGGTTGCACACAAGGCTGGTATTCCTTGCCCTCAGGACAGCTCAGCGCTGCAAGGAATAAAAAAGGACATTGAGTGCTTCTGTATTCCTTTAGCATTTTATTAGTTAAATAGGTAGTAATAACAAGTGAGTTAGCACAGAAAGTACACATTTATACTTTAAACAGTACTTTAGGTAGGCAACTGATTCAATCAAAATTAAAATTCATTCATTATTAAATAATATATTCCCATCTTAAGAACTTGTACCCTGATTTACCAATGCTGTGATAAAATGAGATGTTACTTACAAGAATAATAGAAAGAAATATAATTTTAACTTATCGCTAAACACTTAATCACTAAAAAACTTCATCACTAAAGCCACATAAGGGTTCAGAATATGGCTATCTGCTTACAACAGTAATCAGGTGTCCTCCATTTAATACAGATGTTGTGCTTGTTGCATAATGCCACATATGCAGAAAGTGCATCACACTCATAGTTCCAAAAATTAGTACTGTTGATCCACATCTTCTTGCAAAATTCCTGTGGTGACACCTAGGAACATATTGAAATTGGGAATTAACAAGTATAAAGTCTTCCTGTAACTAAAATAAATCAGCAATTAAGAGAATACAGCCACAAGGGAAAAAAAATCACTAGCAGTGTCCAAATTTAAAAATATCTTTTTTGTCAGAACACTCGATCTGCAGAACTTAAACTGCCAGAATTTTTTATGCTGGCTAGTAGACAGAGAATGCAGTCCTAATGAGTCACACTACTTTAAAGAACTTTTCAGCATAGCCCTGTCAACTAAAAGTGTAGAATCTCAGCTAAACATTGCTGCTGAACCTTCCATACAATCCTGCTGTGAACGAATTACTTATTATTCTGTTTCTGTGCCTGTAGGACCTGATAGCCTATTTTACACATCTATCTCTCAGAAAGAAAGGGCTACTTGAGTAATTAATCCTTTTTAATTAAGTCAGGAAAGTCAGTTAGGCCTCTATAGCTGCATACTACAGCTATATCCCCATTAGAAAGTACAATTTGTAGAAGAAAATTATAATGATTTCTGTAAGAAATGCTACAAAATTCTCAATGTAATATTGACTATGTAAAAATATTTTAACTGGAAATTTCTTTTAGTCTAATAAGTCTGCAGCTGCATGAATCACTGTTATGTGCAGCAGAAGCATGAGACTTTCTGTTCTAGTGATCCACATCAAGCATTTATTAAAAATAACATCTCTGGAATGTGTTTATCTTGCCATCATGATCCAGTGTGTCTCCTTTGAGAAAAGCCCATTAAGTAATTTTAAAAAACAGCATAATAGCACAGGGATCAATATAGATGTGTGTTTGCAATGGACAACATGACAGGGGTATTAAAGCCACCCATTCCATTGTCAAATCATAAAAATAAGCAAAACATGAAAAATTTGCGTGTATCAGTCACTCTTTTCTTAATTATACAACTATTTATATGATTTGGTCCTGTAATTTTTCTGATCCTCATACTCACTTTCTTGTGACAAGGGATGAAAATGCTTCTGTTTAACAGTTCCATACAGTATGTGCAGTTATCTTCAGTACAGTTTCTTACTGGCCTCCTGGTTGTTACATCAAGTGATTTCTCAATTTCCCAACTCTTGATGAATGCTTCAATTTCCTCCATATTCGTAATTATGGTCATGTTTTGCATTTTCAGATCATCACTAGGATCTCCATTACAAACCCCTGGGGACAGAGCATCATATTCAAACCACGCACAAACATTCCTTCATTTGGGAAAGAAAAGCAACCTGATAAGTTATGATCAACACTGCTTCAGGCTGATCTGTGATACTCAGTCATCTGAGCATATAAGTTAAAGCAGCTGTATGTCCACTGTAGTTCCAGCTTCCAGCTTGTGATTTTAGTTCTCAGCTCAATGGCTTAGTAAAACAAGTAGACCATACAATACAACTCATTGTACCTATCACAAAAATTAACTTTTGAGAAAAACTGCTACCAAAATATTCTGTTGAGTGTATCAAATTCACTGTCATGGTGCTAGATTCTGATCTCATTCTACTGAATGGCAGCCAGTTCCTTGGGAGTAATAGTAGATGGTTTTGTGATTAATTGCTCATCATCAATGATTTCACACCGTATTGAGATTTAATTGAACATTATAAGTGCAAGAAGTTATTAAAAGAATTTTTTGATTAACAAATTGCTTTATCTAGGGAAAACATTGTTCTTACTTAAGTTATTAATACAAAACCACTGTAAAAAAACTACCTTCCCAGACTCCTGGCTTTCATTGTCTACCTGAATTCATTATTCTATTGACCCATAAATTAAAATATATAATCTCTTTAAGCACATAGCAAGTGAATAATGCCAAAACTTTAATCTTCATACTAGTTTTACATCTCAGGAACTGATCAGGTAAAGTTCCTCTCTTGTTTTCACTTTTCTTCTGCACTGTTAAACGTATCCTAAGCCCTTGCCATCATGTTTTCAGCTTTGCAGTCTGATGCTCTTCAGGGTCCTTTGTTCGAATAGGACTAGCTTGGTGTGGCAGGCTATTATTCTTTCAGACAGCATGGAGAAATACAGAAGATGGCATTTAAATAAGAAGTGTTTTTTAGTAGCATCACTTCCCAGTATTCTTAGCTCTTCTGCCTCTTGCCACAGATCACAAACTGCTGGTATTAGAATTTGTAAGGCCATGCTACATCAGAATCAATATAGCTTTAAAAATAAAGCAAATTTACCACATAGTCCCACAACCTTAGTTTGAGAGGAAGAGGATTGCAGAATCCCAGATAGGAACAAACAGCAGAGGACAGGAAAGAAACACTAAAGAAAACTTCCGACTTTACTGCAAAACATGAGGTAGCACAACATATTAAGCTAAGTTTGGTTTTGTCTGCATAGACTTCCTCTTTATGTTCTCATGACACAAAGAAGAACTATTCTATAGTTCTCTCTACATTTGACCTCATCTTGTCCCACTCATTCAGCATGCATAGAAAAGATGGCATGGTACTGGGAAAAGATGCAGGGCCAGCCTTCACCTTCTCTCAGTAGATTTAGGAGAACTCTCCTTTTGTTCAAGCAGAAGCCAGCAATTTCTATTAAAGACTTGATTTGTTTATATTTACACTTAAAGCTTTGCTTTGCTTGCTTTTAAAACTAATAGCAGTTTAAAAAACTACAAGAAGTTCATTTTCCTTTTTAATATGAAGTAGATATGTAAAATTACAAACCACTAGAAAATGAACATTTATGATAAAATTAAAGTAATTTTTAATCACCTGCCTACACTTTTCCATATCATTCATACTGTCAAAGTTATAAAAGCTTGAAACGTGCTACATTTAATATCATTGTAATTCAAGACTGAGATACCTCAGCACAGTTTTGGACCTTAGACTCAGCCTCAAGAGGTCTAAAATCAGATTTTTAATTCACTGTCCTCAAAAGACTTGGACCCTTCCCAAGATACAACTTTTGTCAGTATTTTTATAGCAATAAGCTACCACTGCTAACATCAGACAGTTATTCTTGCCTCCATAATCACTGAAATATACTATCACTACCTGAACTTCTTTAGCAGCCACTTCTTCACTAAAAATTTTCTTTTTCTTACTTGGCTTCAGCAAAACTCTCAAAACAGGCAGAAATAAGTAAAAGAAATAAGTATTTTTTTTTAAGTTCTTTAGATACAATGTGCTGATCGCTACTTGATCTGGAAAGTACTTTATTAGCACACAGTGCTTTCAAACACAATGATTAATTTATTATTAATTAATTAACAGTATTTCACAGGCTCTCACATAGGATTGCCAGCAGAGTTAATGAAGGTCACAATGAGAGCTATAGGGACAGCTGGTCACAGACACAAAAGGGAGTTGCAAATTTCAATTGGTAAGTTATTGAATAAGAAAAAAGTTGCCACCATAGCCTTACCACAAAGTCCTTCTGTCTTCCTCGTTGTGTTAGAGTGTAATCCATACTGTATATCTATGATGCCTGTAACATGAGCCCACTTGATGCTAATACCAGCTGGGGTATTAACCACATACATTGCACCAGTATCCTGGATACTCAGTCCTTCTTTTGAAAACGGTAATTGTTGAATTACAGAATCCACAACTACCTAAAATAAGTCAAGCACATTTTAGAGATAAAGCCAGATTGCAATGATGTATTTTATATGTATTTATATTTTATAACAAAATACTATTTTCACAGCCTCTGCCACACATAACAGTCACAGTGCTTAGAGACCACCCATGCCACTTCCAAAAACTGAAAATGAAGTAGGCATGAGGAAAAAAATCTTTAGTAATTAGGGAAAAAATAAATCTTATTTATCACATATCATATGATGAAACAAAACGTCATTCCAATTATTGAAAGTCATCTGTTGTGACTTGTTACTGACTAGCAAGAAAAGTAGCTTAAGTATTTATCACTTCTAGGGTTCTAGGGTTTCAGGCATAACTGCTTTTGCAGCTTCATTAAAATCTCAAAAGAACTTTAATGTGACATGGAAAAATGACATTTAAGTGAAGCATGGTACCAGAAAGGTAAATTGTTTATTTTGCCTCTAGTACACCATGAATTATTGGAGACCTAATCTGCAAAAGTAATACTAACCCTGTAGTGTTTTATTTTAAATCTGATTTATCACATTCTACAACAGAACAGCTCTCCAGCTATTTTTTAAGAGCACACACACTGTTGATATATACTTACTTTTCTTGCTAAACGATTGATAAGTATTTGACAAGTGTGTGTTGTGACATTTAATTTCTTAAAACAGAGTCCTGAAGTGTTTGCAGGTGGCACCTTGAAAGAAAAGTGGCAAAGAAATTTAGATAATATTGTTTTTCTAATTCTGTGCCAGTTTTATTAGAATTTTCTATATTAATTATTTTTTACTATTAGTGCATTTTAAAATCAGCAAAATAAGCAAGTACTTACTAGCTTTCTTATTGAATTTGCACTCTGAAAAAAACATTAAAAATAAATTAGAAGTGCAATAATAATCATCAGCATGTTTATTTAGCAAAAATAAGTTACTATTTTCTTTGCTTTTAATGTTCTTCTACAATCAGCTAAATAATTAAACTAATTTAACATATTCCATATGAATAATAAAAAATACATACTTTCCAGCTAATTTAGTGCATATGCTGAAAAGTCCCTTCAAATTATATTTCTTAAAGAACTAAAACTACAGACTTCTAAAGCTCATCTGCAGATGTGTTCTGCATTCCCACCTCTAGACTGCAACCAGGAAACGAGAGAGCAATTTAATAGAAAACATCTAAAACAATGCAAGACTGTTACCTTCAACAGTCTTAAAGTTCAAGTGTACAGCTGCCCTCTGAGAATAAATAAGAGATGGGAAGGAAAGAAGCCTGTTGAAGCCCCTCAGCACTGACTGGTTTATCCACAAACTGAAGATGGATTCAATCCAGCTACTTAAGGCCTGCACAAATTAGGGCTATGGATAATGCAAAGGAAATGTACGTACAGATTCTAAGGATGAGACTGACCTGACCTAAACTGGAAATCTGAAAATAAAGTAGTTGGATTCCCTCTGTGGACAACGCAGAGAGTCAGACAACTACAAAGGACAACCCATCACAAAGTCATTAATACTTTCTTAAAATAGCTATACAATATATTTTGTGACTATTAAAAAAATTTTACTATTTTGACCATATTGCAAAGTATACATTCAAGGTTACAAGAACACTTCTGTGTGGAGACCCAGAAAGGAGACATGCATATTGAGAAGTTATGTCACCTCTGATAATTTAAAAGGCATCTACATTTGAATTTCCTTATAACACAACAATTACTATTTAACTCAAGATTAAATTATTTTATCTAGACAACGTTATTAAGCATGCTTCTTGAAAATTCAATAACTTGCTATTTTTTATTGAGTGTGACTTTTACGTATAAGTTTTAATTGAAATGTTTTTGCATCATTTCAAACCTATAACACAAAAAAATTCAAGGAACAGTTATAATTATTGCATAAATGCAAGAACCTTACCTGATTAGCAGGACATTTTTCAATATGAGCAACAATAATTTCTCCTGGTAACTTGACTAAAATATAGGAAGCCATATTACAGAGGGCTATATTATTTCCATCAAATGTAATAACACTCAGTTCAGACAGTACAGAACAATGACCTAAAAAAGAACTGTCATTTAATGAGCTTACCACAAAACTGAATACAGGGCATTTCTAAAAACTTTCAATTCTAGCATTATTTTCTTTTGCACATACATTCATAGATAGATAGATAGATGACCTTGTTCTGCAGACAACATACTGAGACATAAGCCTAATGAAATGTTTAGGTTACTCAGTGGAAATACCTTAACTTGATTCTGTGTGCCCAGGGTAGGGAAAAATGTTTAAATTGGTGAAAATTTTTACTTAAGTCAATGTTTTACAGGCAAGGTCAATGAATCTGCATGATGTGAGATAAAATATATGCTTTTTTTTTTTTTTTTTTTTTTTTGATACCGACAAGGGACTTATCTGTCTTATCTTGAAAAAATATAAAGTGCAATATTGGTTTCATTGATACTGCAAGGTATTAAATATGCTTTCTCTTTTCTCTTTAGCCTTTTTGTTACCTTGGCAGGCTCATGCGCCAGTTTCTGCAGTGGCTGAGCATGACTACAAACTGCAATTAGAGTTAAATGAAATATGGGGGTTATGTCTTTCAGAAAAGCTAATACTTAATTTCTTTTTCTTCATAAAATATTGAAATCTTAACATTTACACTGATAAAAATCCTGTAAAGTCTCAGCTGAAAAATACTGGTGTTCATGCTGGAGATGTCCTTTTAATGTTTTCATTAAAAAAGAAAAATATTTTAATTCTCCAGGATGTCAATTCAAAGGAACATAATGTTCAGTATATTTCATTCTGCTTTGTTGATGAATGGCTATTTTTATTTCATTCCAGTATTTAACCTCATATTTCCGTTGTAATAACCTTTTAATTTATTACTTGACATTTACAGATCAAGGCTGCATATTTTATTTAAAAATAAAAGAGAGACTTACAGGGACATTCCCATTCTGGACAACAGCTGTCAGTGTTAACTTGAACAGGCATTCCTCGAAAACCACAATCTGGCTTCTGCACATCCTTAGGGCAGTTCCTTGAAAGATTGTATAACATCCAAGCCGTATTAACGCATACATACTGGCTACATTTGTCAACAGGTTCGAGGTATCTTGGCTGTCACATAAGGAAAAAACAACCAGAGTCAACAACTTTAATTTCATAGGCCTTATGAAGTCCAAGTGATGACTTGGCCATCCCCAAGCTCGGAATCAGTACATCTACCTGCCCTTCATCAGTTATTTTGGAATGACGTGCATTTGTGTGGTTGTAACCAGTGACAATGATACATGTCCATTCACCCACACCATTCCTGTTCCATCCAGTTTTGGAGGAATACCCTATGTAAAGCATTATGCATTGAGGGTACGAGTTATAATCAGTTATAATCTGAAGCATTTTAAGAAACACAAAATCATGCATTCCCATAATTTTAAAATCTGTGACAAAGAAACAAGTGAAAGAAGAAAAGCCAGGGTAAGATCATGCAGAAACATCAAAATTCCAAGGATTATGGCTTTTTTGGCACCTCAGAAATATATTTAGCTATCTAGAAAACTTACACAGCTTTAAAGCATCTTTTTCAGAGCAATACATCCAAGTTGCAGAATATACAGGGCAATGTAAGAGCAGCAACAAAACTATCCTCTAAGAATAACTGAGAATTTTAAAACAAGTAAATTAAATAGAAAATAGGAACTATTTTAAATCTCTGGTATTATATATGCAGAATAACAGAATGGATTGAAAAGTAATATATATGTAAACATGCAGGAGAAAATAAGATTGATCATACCATACACTCAGAAGATGTAGATATCAGTGTATGCATCATCGTGCCAAAGTAAGCCTTGTCAGCTACAGCCATAGTTTCTGATGAGGAAGGCAGAACCATTCCACCACTAGTAAGAGATAAATCTATTATAGCTCTGGTTTGCAGCTCTGTGGCCTCTGTTACACTAAAATAAGGTGTAATGGGTTTCTGTGTTGGGATTTTGGACCTATCTGATGTTGTTACATCCAGGACTCCAGAAATAGAGATATTTTTGACTGAGGTTGTATTTCTTGAAAAGAGCAGACTTTGAAGTGCAGTTACTGGCAAAAAAGGTGGGGAAGATTTGTCAGTTGTGGTTGTCTTTGTCTCGGTAGCATTTTTTTGCTCATGTGATGTCTGACCATCTTCTGAAATATCCACAGTTTTTTCAAATGAAGTTGTGTATTTAACTGCTGATGCTACGTATGAAGTACTCTTCATCTGTGATAATGGATTTGTAGTACCAGTTGTTTCCATTATATTAATCTTTGGAGTTTCTCTAGTGCTCTGTGAAGCTTGAGTTACTGCAGTTGTAAATAAAGATTTCTGTGTTTCTATGGTAGTAGGAACTGAAGCTGAAGCCATATAAAAATCCAAATTGACAACAAAAGAATCAGCAGTTTTTGTAGTAATCCTAGAGGCTAGGGTGGTGGTGCCTGAAGTAACTAATAAACTGGCTGAAGAACTAGGTAACATTTTTGCATAAATATAAGGTGCTTTTGAGGATGTAGATTTCACCGTTGTGTTTGTGATCACTGGCGTAGTGGATTGAGTGATGATTCCAGCTGGTATGACTGATATCATTCCATCTTCTTCTGAAGAACTTACCGAAGAACTCTGTTTTCCTAGAGAAACATTAGAGATATGAGTGGTCTTAGGAGGAGGTGAGGGCACAGAAGGCTGGTTTCAGAGATGTTAGGCATTAGTAAAAAGGGCATTACGATGGATGTTTTTAGTGCTGCTGATAAGTTGGTAGAGAGACTTATTCTTAAAGTGAATTTAGAAAAATCCACAGAAGTTGCAAGGTCTATAATTGGAATTTTTGAAGTTCTTTGTGTATCTAGAGATGAAAATGATGCCTGGGTAGCACTTATATTTTGTGTTAGTGACGATGTGCTACTGACTATGGGAGTCAATGACGAACTTTTAGTCTGAGATGTCACGTAAGATGGCTCTGATGTTGATAACAAGGTTGTAAATAAAGATAATGACCTTGTAAAAGAAGGATTTTTGGAAGTGGAAGCACCCGAGCTTTGAGCCACAGGGTCAGTTTTCAATTCTGTATCTGAACTTTTTGGGTACTCTTTAAGTTCTGAAGTGGTTATTGATGTAGAATTCAGAGCTAATACCAATGTCCGGTAGAAATGAATGATAATGAAAAGAAATCAGTGTGCATTATTTGCCTATTTTCTGTTGAGGCTTTACTTACAAACCTATCAAAGATTGTTGTGTTGATTAGAGGAGTGGAGGCACTAAAAGGTACTGTATAAAAGCTTTTGGAGGAAACAGTGGCACCTGCCATAGCTTTGGGCTTCAGGGAGGTAAACAGAGAATGCACTGGTGTAGATACTGTGCAAATTATTTTAGGGATTTGAGAAACAACTTAAGGTGAAGATACAGTCATTATTGTCAGAGCAACAGAAATACTGCCCTTTTTTAATGCAGTTGTCTGCCTGGGAACAGTTGTTGAAGTTTGCACTGAAGATGAAAGTGGCTTTGGAGAAAAACTGGTTGAAGAGCTAACATTCAATGATATAAGAGAAGTTTTAGACAAGAGTTTTGCTGTTTTGAAATATGAAACTGTGATTAATTGAAGAACACTTGTCTCAGAATTAGAAAATCTAGTAGTCATAGGAGTTTGAGGAGCAGTTGAAGCCAGTGCAGAACTGGGTGTTGGGTAAACTGCAGTTTGACTAATGCCAGACCTAGTTCTAACAGAGAAAGTAGATATGGGAGAAGTAGATGTGTTTAGTGTCCATTGTGAACCCAGAAGAAATACTGGTCTTGTGAAAGTTTCTCTGTCAGCCCTCAAGGCAGACAAAGACACTTCAGAGTATTTCTGTTCCCTTAGAATGACTTACTGAAGGACTCCTACTCTTCCCAATCCCTGCAGGCAGCTCAGAAGTGACCAAAGATATCTTGGAGGCTAAAGTTGTTAGTGCTGAGGAAGGTCGAACTGGTCCTAGCTGAGTGGTTGATGTTTCGAGTGAAAATGGAACTACCACTAGGGAAGTGGGTGTTAATAATGCAGAATGTGTCAGACTAGGACTCGCACTGAGCAGGGTTGTTGGAGTTGTTATTGTAGTGGGTAAAGTTATAGATGCATTAGAGCGGGCAGTACGTAATGTGACTGCTGAGGCTTGAAAAAGAACTGGAAAATCAGTTGAAGGGATGGGTTTGGAAAGGGCAGTAGGGCTGGCTGTACTGTGAAGTACATCAGAAGGCTCCACTGTACTTGGTAATGAAAATGTTGAATAGGTGGCTGCATTAGAAGCTTCCAATGAATAAAAGTCTGTAATGGACTGTGCCGACATATCCATTCCCCTTGAAGCTGTGTTTGCATTTATGGTTATTTTGTCTGTCACACCGATGAGAGTCGATTTGTTCCCTGAAGTAACAAATACAGGGAGTGTCTGAGGAAATCTCTCTGTGGTAGGACCCATGTGAGAGATTAACAGTGAAGGTTTCAGTCCAACTTCTGATTTTGTAGGTGTCACAGGTATGCCTAAAAGGAAAAATGTGTGTTTAACCGTCTTTTATGGGTTATTAGTAAAGAAAAAAAAAAAAAACCTATCTCTACTCAAATCCCACTTAAATATTAGCAAATCAGATCTTGCCAATGGTTCCAGGTCATCTGATGACTTTAAGGAACTCAGCTGACTCAAAATGTTTGCTAATTTTCTCTGCAAATGAAGTAGTTAAACTTTTATTATTGGTGAAAACCTTTATTTTGCAGGGCAATTTCAAAGCAACAAGACAATTCTATAGAATATTCAGTAAATCCAAAATGGCAAAATATTTGAAACAAGTATATTTCATCCTTAGAGGATATTATACAAGATAATTTTGTACTAGCAAATATCAAGAATAATGTATCTAATTCAAAATTTGTACAATAAAACAAAATACAGTATTAAAATTAGATTTGAATGTAAAAATAATACTTTATCCCACAGAATAAGGATGTAATATGGTATCTTTACACACCAGAAATTATGAAATAGGTGAGCTGAATTTGTTAGTGTTGTGTCATCCTCAGAAAAGACTGAACTTTTTGCTACAGCTGTATTTCTTTCATTTGGAATCTCTCCCTTACAGATACGTAATATACTAGCATTATATAGTCAAATATAGTTGTTCTGAGTATAACATAATCACAAAAGGTTATATATAGCCCTATTTGAGAAATATATATAATTCAATTTAAAATATAACTTTCTGAATGCAGAAGCTGTAGTCTGGGTGACTGGGAATGGAGTCTATGTCCCAGAGAAACAATCTTCAACAGAAATATGTTCTGAGAAAGCATTTAATTTTAAAAGAATTACATTTTATTAATCCTTTCCTGGACTTTATAACAGTAGATCAACATAATAAAGTATACTCACAGTCTTCTGGATAAACACATCTAAGTGTGACCTCATCAAGGATCATGTTTTTTGGACAGTATGGCATGCATCCTTCAACCCTTTAAAACATTGTATAGTCAATTCTAGAGCCACAGTAGAGGTATAAGTTAATTTTAAATTATTTTACTTTGGCTAAACAAACCATTAGAATGTCTTATCAGAGTTCTGAGAACTTTCCAATGAAATTATGAGCATAGCATTTTGAGGCATTTCAAGGTCAAAAAGTTATTGAACAGCATAATTCTACTTCTAAACTGTTAATAATTATTTGAATAGGCTGCTGAATATGACAGCTTTGGACCATTTTTCTTCCACAACCAGGTGGAAGTTTAGATTCCTAAACAGAAAGATTTTTCACAGAATGATGAACTTGTCTACAAGACTTTTCTCACACAGGAGAATGCAGACAAATCACTATATTCCCATGTCTTTTTCATTCTGGGGAACTTTTCAATAAGAAAATCATTGCATTAACAACCAGTGTTCACATAAGGAAAAAGCTAAGAATATCAACAGAGAAAATTAGTCATATTAGTAGTATTACTAATAAATTGAATATGCCTAGGGAGTCTGAAATCTAAAATATCCTTTCTTTTCCACCACATTGAGCTTTTAGATATTTTTTCCTTTTAGCTTGCTGTGGTTTCATAGAGGCCAGGGGAGAACCACTAAGACAGGAAATCTGTCTACTAAATCCCAAGCTACCCCTCTGAAATCCCTCCCTGCATGCCAGTTCCCTCTTCTTACAGGAGAGGGCGTATTCCTCCCTTGCTATTCCTACAATTTTTGATCTCTGTCATATAAACACCAGAAAGATGCAGTCGTTTTAGCATCATGGTGTGCTGGTTTAGGATGCAACTATAAATCCACAGAAGGAAATAGCCTTCATTTAATTTAACAGCTTCCTACTTAACCCCTACCAGAAGCTAATCCTCTGGGCTAAATACAAACGCTCTTACTCTTGTGCTGGAAAGCACATCTAAATGCGAATACAAACTGTGGGAAATGAGAGGCTTGGTACAAATGTTTTCATATGACTTGTGAGAGTTTCTCATAAGGATGATATTGAAATCTGGATAGTAGAACTAAATGGATATTGCAGCAGCAGTGATTTTCAGAAAGCATATGGTACGCTTATTACAAAAAACAATACAGTAGCAATATGAGATTAATTTTACTTACAGAGGAAGAAATTTACATGCTATTCCTTCAGGATCACTACATGTCTTAAAACAAGGATTAGCACAAGATTCATATCGCCATTCACACATCCTTCTGTAAGGCACAGAAGCACTGAGTTCTGAGAAGGAAAGAAAGGATTTTTTTAATTGATTCAATAGTCAATAAACAATTTAAATTTGCAACCTTTTCTATAACATACATTGGGATCTTCAGATAAATGAAAAATGAAAACCAAATAGACAAATTTTTCAGAACCTTCCAATAGGTGAAATTTTGTTCAGTTTTGACTATTTTAAATTTGTTCAAGCTAAAAGGCACTTCAAGCTTTGACAATAAAAACAGCTATTCATTTTTACAATATACTCTGGTTTAAAACCTAAAAGGTCAGTTAAACATATTGAAGATACTGTTGGTTGTAGATGCAATACAATTACCCAATTCATTTAAAAGAATAGATATCTATATATTACTAATGAGATATTAACATACATTGTTTTGTGAAATGTCACTTTCATTTTCAAAGAGTAAGCCAATGAAAACATAGTTCAAAGATAAAGTGACCATCCTATCTGCAAAAGTTAGAAAATAATAGCATTTTGAGATGGAATGGAAGACAGAAAGAAATTAAAAATAAGAAAAAATATTTGTTACTATTGTTGATGAAATACAAGAAAGAAAATGCTCTGAAGGCAAGCAGAAAAAGGATATTTATCCCTGTGGATTATGCAAAATTTACCTTCAATACTAAAGCTACTGAAATGTTTGAATTCTTCTGAACCATCATACTTTTCCACTTTAAGACTGGATGAGGTGAGAATGATGAAAAAACCTTTTTTACTGTGCAGCTCAAAGGCACTGAGCCCTGGACTCCAAAGACCCTGGTGGTGGAAGAAGGTGGCTCGTCTCTGAAAGGAGGCATTTGCCTGCCACTGCTCCAACCCAATGGTTTCATTGTCATGTACACACAGAAAGTAGTTTGGTCTTTCAGCAGATTCAAGGGAAACAAGAGACAGAGCTTCCACAGAAGAAAAAAAATAATAAATATGGTGAGATTTTCACAGAAAACAACTTATAATTGAGATTAAATCCTATACATTGGCCATTAAGTGGCTCCTGTTAAAAACTGTCTTTTCACAAAAAAAAAAAAAAAAAAAAAAAAAAAAAAAAAAAGAAGTCAGTTTTATGTTGCACAAAAGAGAGTTAGAAACACAGTGCAGTGCAGTGGATCCTATAATCCAGAACCACCAGGGAACATATCAGTTAGACCAAAAGTGCATTCAGCCAACTGCTACTAATCTTCAAAAATTATTCCTAAGCAGTCTCAGACTGGAAATTGCATATCTTGGGAGTTTTTCCTCAAGTTTGGACAAATGTCTGACAGCTTAGCAAGGCCAAAATTTCATTAGTAAATTATATCACATTGTACGAACATTGACATCAGGCTTTTTTTTATATGCAGACATATCCAGAAATACTGTAGGAAAATCTATGGCCAAATAAGAGACTTGGCCTCCATTTGTTCTACCTATGCCACAAATAAAAAGTGAAAAAATTCTCTGAAAATGTAAGGCTTTATAAGAAGACTGATTTCATACTTGAATGTGATCTTGAAGGTCACCTTGATTTTCAACTTGAATGTGGTCTTGAAGATCTTTAATCTATAGGAATATTTTCTCATCCCTCATTTCCCTATGAAAGTCATCTGTGTACTGCACAGATATAATGAATTATTTACTTCCATTTTACATGGGGATTTGACAAGACTGAATTAATTCTTCTGTTGTATGTATTTTTCATTTCAAAATCACATCTAAAAACCTAATTTTACCATGGCAATAGGCATTCAAATGTTTATAAACTTAGTTTGAAAATTTTCTGTGGAGAGAATCCTTCTTTATGTTGGTTTTTGAGGGTTTGTGATTTTTTTTCAACACATTAAATTATTTGACAAAGCAATGACCAAATCTCTAATAATTTAATTGGCACAATCTTCACATATGTGAAGAAAGAAAAATATATACAGAAGGAAAAATATTTAAACAGATTTATTTTTGTTGTATAGTTTGGGTAAGTCTCTGATAAGTAAAACATAGAGTTTATGATTAGCTGTTCACTAAGAAACTACCTTCTATGTTGCACAGAGATGCTGCTTGTTAATGAAGCAGAAATAGATTGATCATTCTGAGTTGCACATTTTCTAGGTCAGGAAAGGTAAAAAATAAGGTGGAAACACAAGGTAGAATCAATTTCACTGGAGACAAAATGTCCTGCATTGACCTTAAGTGTTGATATTTGCTAGATACATGTGAAAAATTCACCAGTTTCCAGTTGTACAAACTAATTGGATTTTTTTCACAAAGTTACTCTATGCACTCGTTATTGTAATATTTCTAAAATAACTTTTGAAAAGTCAACTTTAAAGCTGGAATTGAGGGTTTCTAGTATTAAAAAAATTACAATTTAAATCCCTCCTTCATTTTGAAACTGGCCACTTATTCCAAAAACTAAAAATATATGGAGTACTTTAGGACATTTAGAAGATGCAGCAAAAATCATTCATATAGTTTGAGATATATATCTCACCATTAGCAAAACTGCTGAGAACACTTACATAAATCTTTATCTTTGAAAAGACCTGGAGTTATCATGAAACTGAAAATTACATTTCCATGTGCTCCAGTTCTAGGTAAGGGAAATATCCTTCTGCTGGATACATTAGCCCCTATAATTGTGTCATGCATGCCAAAACTTGCCAAAATATAGGGTCCTTCACCAAGACCTACAGGAAGAAAAATCAAACAGAAACACAAAAATTTTCATTGCATAATATACAGAAGTTAAGTCTTAATTTTCCACTTGGTAGTAGAAACATGCATAACTCTGTACTTGACTTTAACCCCAGCAGGCAGCTAAGCACCACACACCTGGTCACTCACCACACACCTCACAAAGGAAGTGGAGGGGAAGAACTGAAAAAAGCTCATGGGTAACATAAAGACAGTTAAATCATGGTTTGGTTTGAGTTTTGTTTGTAGAGAAATAAGGAAAAAAAAAAAAAAAGGAAACCAAAGAAAACAATTGCAAAAAGAAAACAAAGAAAACAAAGCAAAGTGATGAAAAAGCCAAAATTCTTCACCATCAGCTGACCAAGATCTAGATGAACCCTAAGCAATGCCAGTCCCAGAAAACTGTCCCTCCAATTTCTATTACTGAACTCAACATCATGTGTTCTGTAACATCCCTCTTGTCAGCTAGAGTCAGTTGTCCCAGCTCTGTTCTCTCTAACCTCCTGTGCAGCCCCAGCTTGCTTCCTGATGGATCAGCTTTAGAACTGGAAAAAGCCTTAATCTATGTAAGCACTAGGTAAAACACCACTGTCATCACAAATACAAAATATATTATTAAAATCATGTTAACTATATGGAGAAAATTAGCCAAAACCTCCTTCCTACTTTTTCATTGAATCATAGAATAATTAAGGGCAGAAAAGACCTTTAAGACCACTATTGTGATGTTCATCATTAAAGCCATGTCTTCAAACTTTTTTGAGTAAGATAAAATTCCATATTACAAAGTAATTGTGGGAAGTCAGCTATACCTAGCAAGATCCACATGCTACTACAATAGTAGGCCAGACTGGAGGAGAAAAAAATCATCTCTGTAATGATCCTCATTATAGGACACAAGTCATCCTAGCCATCAAAAGGATACATTAAAAATCAGATTCATTCATTCATTGTGATTAGTCAAGTTTCACTTTTCAATATCTATTGCTCCCTATAAAGTATGTGCACAGTATCCAAATATTAGAGGGGATGACAGGAATTCATTCGGTTAAGTTAATACCACTCTCATACTAAGGTACTGCTCTTTTTACAGTCCAGTATGTTGAGACTTGTGCACAAAATCCAATAGCCTATCAATGTCTAAATATTGTAGGTCCCAGCTCTGAAATTTACAGTACAAACACAAGGAAAGGTCCTTCTAGAGCTTCTCCCTGACTGCTACCATACGTTGTAGGATGATGGATCAATCCACAGCCCCACACTGAACATTATGAACTTGTTAATGAGGCATCAGGGATTACTAGGATCATTCAACAAACCTGGGCCACTAACCTTCACTCATTAAAAATAAAAGTAATTTTAAAACTGCATACATCAAATCAAAGAAAAAACCCATAAATTAATTGAGTTTTTTAAACAAGAATATCAAATAATACATACCTTGGTTGTAATATTCACAGTCATAAGCTAAAAGAAAAAGAAAACAAACATTATAATTACTGTTACTATTATTATTACCATTATTATTACTTCAAAGTAACAAGAGAATCCATGTATCTCTGCATCTTAAATATGTAAAGCTAATTTCAGGAAAGGAAGTTTCATGTCTCACAAGATATTTCAGTCAGTGATTTTATTTTCTTAGACTTTCGTCCATTGACAGCTGACCTGAAGGAAGAATTAGTGTACAGCTAAGAACCCTTCTTGCTGTTAATGAAAAGAACAGACTGGGTCTCTTTGGAGCCATACACAGAAAACTGGACATCCACCAATGCCTTTCCCACAGGCTCTGCACTAACACACCCTAAGCACAGCCAGCCCTTCTCAGCAGGACAGCAAATTTGGGTGTATAAGGATGACACACCTAACACAGAGACAGCTTGAGAGATGTCAACTATGTTTATCATCCACTTGTTTCTGTCATATTTATATAATTGGGCAGCAAAAAGTCAGAGATGCCCATGAGATGAGCTCTGGAGCATGGCCAGCCCAGGTACATACCACAGAGCAAAGGAGATCGCCAGTGAATCGCTGCTCCTTGCTGGCAGCACTTGTGGGCATAAGCTGCAATACTGGTACACAAACACTCACAGTCCCCACCAAGATTGCAGTTGCATGTATCTGTGTGACAGTTTTTGATAAAAGAAGTCACATCAATCTGGCGGGGAAAGAACAAAAACAGGTGACTTAATTGCATGAGCTGTACAAATTCTAGTTGCAGCAGGAGTTTTGCTTCTGGACTGACTGAAAGAATTAAACACAAAAATAAGGTATTTTCCAAAGGTGTTTGGGCATATTCCTACACAAAATATACACTTCAAATGAGCAGTTTATACCTAAGTTAAAGGTCAAAAGAAAAATTCAGTCAGTGATTACTAACAAGCATGTTCATCCACACACTCACTGTTCATCAATTTTAAAGAATTATTGAAGCTGGAATTTATGCTTTTATAAGGCAAATACTGGCATCTGTGGTCATCCTATCAGTTTTGCATGAACAACAAAATCAGAGGTGTGACTGTGATTACCAAGTTATTAAAGTAATCATTTATACAGGGGGGTTTTCCCAGGGGAAGAAAGCTTACAATCACTGGTGAAATTGTGCAGAAAAAAAACCATTTCTGCATTTATCAAGATTTTAATACAATTTTCCCACAAAACTTCATTACATCAGAAACCCACATTCTCTAAAATCTATCAGAATATTGCATGCTTTTGCATGATACACTATTTCTTGAGTTTAAATCCTCTTTTTTGTAATGTCAAGCAACATTTCCAAAACAATGTTCTTACTCAACACATGGACTGTTTAAAGCAACACTTTCCTTCAGTTTAGTCTTTGGTCTAGCTCAGCTGTAAAGCACTCAAATGGCACACGTCAGATTACAGAAATACCACCACAGTAACAAAGCAGTACTTATCTACCACGAAGACAGCTTCTCAGCTGGCAGTTGCTAGAAGCTGGCAAGGACTGCATAAAGGGCAGAGAGATGTTATTGTGCTTTCATTCTTTTCCTTGTTTTGAAAACAGGGATACCACTGGGGATGTGGTAGAAACACATGAGAACTAGCTCCATTGAAAGTGACAGTAGTAGCTTTGTAGAAATCACCTAACAGCAAACTGGCTCCAAATATATCAATCTCTCCATAGGTCAGCAATATCCCGTTCTTGTGACAAACTGGGAGCCTTGGGCTAAAGTTCCTGCTGAGTTCAGGAATTAGGAGGAAGACCCTTTTTTCTCTGTTGTCAGGTTCCTCAGACCCTGTTGAATTCAGTCCTTATCTGGCAACTGCAATCCATCAGTTGCTGCTAGCCACAGATGCAAGATTTTGCCTCCCTGCAAACTGGTATTGCAGCCTGAGTTAAACTGCAAGGCCGCCTGTCCCACAGACAGGAGCTTGCCTGCATGCATTGCAGGATCTTCCACCCACAGAGCAGCAGCAACAATAAGCACGTTGGGAGCCCCCATCTATGTTTTCTGTTCTTTCCATGCCCCCAGTGTCAGTCTCTGCTCAGGCTTTTTTCTTGGCACCCTGCTCCCCAGCCAGCAGTCAGCTATGCATGCCCTTGATAGGAGGTCACTCTACATTACTTTTGCAGGAGCTGTACTTTCACATGCTGATTAACAGGTTCTAAAAACACAGGAAAGATGTTACTCTCCCATACAAGATAGATGCATACGTGTGGAAATACTTGACTACTAATTAAATTGCATGTTCCTGACATAGATTTTTTAACATAATTATGCTAGATTTCTGGCATAATATTTAAAAATTCTAATCACAATATGGATAAGATATAGAAAATTAACATTCAAGAGAAAAGATCTTTCTAAGTTGTTATAATAATACAGTTTCTTAAAGACTCTCAAAAGTTCTATTTTTATGTATTATTTGCCACTTCAAAAATACACTCATTACTAAGTTCTCAGGCACATGCTCAAAAAATTCTTTACATAGTAACTTAAGTCAACATTAATAAATCTCTTGGGTTAAACTACTGCAACCTCCTTCACAGGCAAATTCCTAACCATGTTGACATCCAGCTTCAGTCCTGAATGTCAGGAGGTCCAGCTGAGACAGCTAATTATCTCATTTAGTATTAATACTCATGAAGAAATTAAGAGACTTAGATGAATTGTTGTAGTGGTTCTTGCTTGTTCAGGTGTAAAGAAGCACCTAAATACCATTGGGAAGCAAAAACTAGAAATAGGGGAAAATGTATAAAGCATGTCTTGCATTGATAATGGGTGGATTAAAATGGAATAAGAGATTACCATACAAAATAGTGTTGTCCCTGTCTTGTCTAGGCTGAACTGGAGGACATTCTTGTAACTCTTTTAACTCATACTCAGCCAGGTATTGGGAAAACAAGGATACCAAACCTCAGAGTTTTGATACAACCAGAAAATAAGCTGCCAAACAATTAAAAATACCAATAACTCAAAAGAAAAAAATCTTCCTCTTTCATATTTCTTTCTATATAAAGCAGGACACAACAAAATAAAAGCATTTGAACTAAGCTGTAGGTGCATTACACATATACTCACTTTAGAATCCCTCAACTAATACAAATTTAAAATTTGCAAAACTTAGCTACCTATATAGACAAAAGGTATAAACAAAACCTTAAGAGGATAGAACCTTGGTTATTCAGTAGATTAACTCGCAATTCTCTTACCACTTTTATTTTTAGGTTCCAGTCTTGAAAGGAACAAGGAGCTCTGCACAAATATAGCCCACCCAAACAGAGATACTTGCAGGGCTTTATTCTTTGTCCTCACATTTAGACTGAGAGTACTGGCAAGAAGAAATTAATTACTGTAATTTTATTATTTTAATGAGAGCAATCTTGGATATTTAATAAACTTACCACATTGCGACAAGGTGCAAAAAGATCACTGTATAAAATTGAGCATTCCTTTTTTGCATAAGGAAATTTGCTCTGATGTACTTCACATGGCCTCAGTGTTTCATTTGGACTCTTGCACTTGAAAACAAGCAAAAAACCCACAAAAATTTTATAGGTAAGTGTGTTTATCACAGACTCAGGTACACCATAGTATCATATAATTCGATACTTTAATAATCAGAAAATTAAAAAATTTCAATTCTATGTTCATCTTCTTTCCTTGATTTGTTTTTATAATTGAAAACATTTGCACCAAAAAATAATCTTTTTGTTTTGTTCTAAAGCACTAAAATGTTCCTGCTGTCTGCTCAGTGCATAAAGACAAAATGTTTTCTTTGTGACACATTATAATCATTACCAGAGCAACCAACTGTAACATCACAAACAAATACGTGGTCCAAATCCATCTTGGGTGGTTTTCACTGACTTTAAATGGAGTCATACTACAGATGGCTTTAGCCCTGTAAGTTCAAATAAAGAAGCAGTGGTAGGAAGGGAGCAACTCATTAAAATATAGTCAAAGATCATCGTGATAACTCAAAAATGGGTGAGATACAATTACATTACTTATAGAATCTCTTCAAAAAGAAAAAAAAAATAATAGAATAATATAGGAAAGGGACACTCAGCTCAGAGAGAACACAAATTCATCTGAAACCACGCTGTGCTGGTGCTGCAGGCAAGGTGGGTGTAATGCACCAGGAGGGTGTGCAATGAATGCATAGGCATCACAGCAGCCTTCGCTGCAGTGCATCACTCACCTATGCTGCCCTCCTGTCCAGGTGCTCAGAGACTGCTGTGAGGACATGTGCTGCCACTCTGAGGAAGGAGAAGCCCTGGAAGCATCTCCTACTTCACAGTGCTAATAAAAGCACATTTCCCAGTAGCAGAGCTGGGTTCTAGGCCTCCAGCTATCAAATACTCCTTTACAGTATTTCTATTTTTCAGAAATGGTGACCAGGATACATCTTTACAATAGGCCAAAGGTCCTTTCTGAAAAAGTCCTGAAGGTCTACTGCAGGGCAGATGAAGTGTCAAGTCTGTCTGAGCACAGCCAACCAGCAAGACCAAAGACCTGAGTGTTTTGACAGACATAGGTATCAGGGGATGACATGGGATTTTACAGATATGTATCTCCACCAAAAAGTAAGGTGCAAGTCTGAGATGCATGTGCAAAAATTATAAAATCCTACAAGTTAATGAGCTATGCAAACACTATGCACCTTTTTAAAGGAGCCGCTTAATTGATAAATTGAAAATGAAAAATTCATGAACTTGATAAAAGTATTCACACATTTGTTTATGTAAGACCTTCTAGATGAGCAGTATAACTCTACACATTAGCCTTCCTTGCTTATGATATTTAAACATTTCATGTAGAATAAAATATATCTGAAGGAAGATATTGAGGCAGAGAAGCCTCAAAATCTTTATTACAAAGCATTCTTCCATGAGGCAAGAGATCGATTTCCTACTGTGTCAAGGAGAGGACAGATTAAAAACTGGTCCTGACAGACATCCAAAGGGAATGTGTTACAAATAATGACTTTTCAGGAGGTCCACAAGGCTATAAAACTTTACATCTTCGCAGCACAAATAAATGAAACACCTATTCTCCTGTGTTATAAACCAGAGTTGCAAAATAAATGTGTGTTATAAACCATTTATAACACCAAATAGTGTTATAAACACCATTTGGTGTAATATTTATAACATTTATAACATTATAAATTTATATATTTATAACATTATACATTTATAACACCAAATTATGTTATAAACTGTTCACTCCCTATAGCATCCTCCTACCTTCTCCTCAGAATACACATTTCCATACAGGGTTGTTCCTGTTGCTGTTCTGAGCCTTTTCTGCCCATCCCTTCACCGCCTCAACTTTGTCAGTTTATTCTGTTTAGAAAGTGCCACTAAAATAAATCTTCATTTTATTTTTAGTGTTTAGAAAGAAACTCTTCCAGGCCTCTTTTTTCCAGCACTCAGATTCTGTTTACTTTCACTATCCTGATGCCCCCAATCCCAGAGAAAGTATAATTGCTTTTAAAATTGGGATGAATCAAAAATACCAGAAGCAGTGTACTGAACTTTGTAGAATACTGAAATACAGATGCTGTAATTGTCTTACACAGGGGAAAACATATCCTTCCCTAAAGAGATTATTTGGTATCATTTAAATTCTGTATCTGTTTGCTATGGCATACGATATTATTAACGCATTTCATATCTACAGACACAAAAATTAAAATATCCTCTTATACAGTGACCATAATTTTAGAAAAATACCTGTACATCATGTGCTTATAATGTGCTCATTTACAAATTAAAATTATAATACTTTTTCTCTATATTTTTCTTGGACATGGGACTTACCTGTCCTAATACCCAGCTGTCTCCAAACACCTGTGCATTTCTCACCTCCATGTTGTTTGATGTAGTCAGATCATTTGAAGTATATTTGTCAAAATTTCCACACAAGCCTGCTAGTTTACCCTGAAAGAGAAAAGAAGTTTTTTCATAAACTCACAGTCAATAATTGGCACAAATGACACGCATGGAATATAAAAATTTTTAAGTAGAAAGTGTGAATGTAAATCTGACTTATCCTTTGAAAATATCTGGCATGCTGCTATGCCTGCAGTACCATATTGTAAATATCTTTTAACAGAAATCAGTGGTTTTCTTCTTATTTTCCAGAACTTCTTCTTACTGCCTGCCTGTGAAAACAGACTGGAATCTAGTAATATTTTTTTCTGAAAGCTCAGCAGTGATTCCAGTCCAAAAGTCAAAAGTTCAGGTGAATTATTTCATGATTGTGAAGCCTGACTAGTTGTTGTCATTAAAACTTGCTGCCTCTAATTTTAGTTCACAATAGCTAGAACATTTGTAATAGCAATTATAAAAGAGACAGCTGCAACTTTCTTTCCTTGGGCATGCTGCTGAAGGAAAAACTATATATATGTGCATACATATATAAATATATAGGAAAAAAGACATTCCTGCACAACAATAAAAAGTAGAGTTGGATTTTTAGGGTGCTGTGGCTCACACTAATGAGTTCTTTTTTCTTCAGTTCTGCTGCAGACATCTTACTGCACTGGAGTCCTTGGAAGCAATAGTCATTGGAAAGAGAAAGAACAGGAAGTATTTGTGTTCCTAAACACAACCTGTAGAACTCAGTTCCCCACTAGCTTACTCAAAAACAGAAGACCTTTTCTTTTCTCTATGTGTACTGATGGTTAATAAATCAACTTGTAGTTGAATTAAGTATTTTACAACTATTTGGACAGAAGCCTATAATAATTTTTCTTTAAAACTACATTAGATGGTCATTATAGCTTCAACTTACACTTCAAAGAATCTGATACTGTACTCTAGCCTAGGATGCTTTTTATCTTTTGCTGTATAAGCCCCATCTTCATACAAGTGTTCATGTTTGAAACAAAGAATAATGTAATTCTGAATTGCACTGATATGGTTACTCTGCCAGCACCCAACGATTGAGTTGCAGAGACATGAAGGTAGATGATGATATAGAAAAAGAAGAGCAATTGGGAAAAAAAGGAGCCTTGAATTCTTCCTTGCATCATGACCGAATCCTGTCACAGTATATGCATTAGGTTTAAATGTAAGGTTTTTTTCTAGGTATTTTTCTGCATTTTGTCTTTTTAAATTAAAGCAAACATGTGACTCCATCTGTTCTTCTCAGAAGCCACTACTACATCCGAGGGTGCAGTTCCAACATAAGTCTAATGCAATCTGTACTACAAACTTGCCATCTTCCAGGTCACTGGGCACGGAAGTGTCTTTTACATTGGCTTTAGCCAATGAAAACATGCAGTGAGCTGGGTAACTCAAAAACTACCCCTCCTTTCCATCCTCCAAAGTATCTCTGAGTCAGAGCTGAATCACTGAATATCTCCAAGGCTGCAGTGTATCAAGCAACAGAGTCAGCATACATTTAGAAACCACTCCTTCTCTTCAGAAGTAGCTTTCTCCATCTCTTACCTGGGAAATACTAGCAGCTGAACAAGCTCTATCACTGAGAAAGCTAGTCTTGAAGAAAAGACTATCACAGTTATTCAATAAAAATCACATTAGCAATATAGAGAATAAACACAAAATCTTGGGTTTATATTTCAGCTCACCTTCCATCGAGGTCCAACTTTTACATGCATCATTGTCTTCTTATCCCACAGAATTGTAATGTCCTGTTCTGGAAAGTGTATCACAGTATAATATCCAGCCTTCCAGAGCTGATAGTTAGATTTGTTTTCTTGTGCCCCTAGGGTCTTCTGACACAAATGAATATTTATTAAGATCTACTAAAGTAATGGTACCACATAACAGCAGAGTTTATATTGAAGAATACTTTAGCATATAGCTGAATCAATAATATTAGTAGAACTGTTGTTTAATACTTTGATATTTTGTCTTTTCAGTCATTGAAGTTTGCTTCATACTTTGGTTTCTCTTTCTAAATCAACTGAAAAGAAACACATAAATGCCAGTATGTTTCAACTCCTTGAGACTTTTGGGCAATCTTCTTGTCTGACAAATAGAACTTGAAAAAAAAAAAAAAAAAGAGAAAAAAAAGTGTGTTTTGGGACCTGCTGCTTTAACCAGGCCTAAACATTTGTACTACATTTACTCAGACTGGGAGATGCTTTCCAAAAACATGCCCCTTTAGAGCTGTAAATTTGCAGTGCTTATCTTAAAGAGCAACCAAAAAAGGAAAGAAAATAACTAACCTGCTTCTCAGAAGGTTCGCTAAAATAAATCTCAGTGTCTCCAACAGTGATGAAAACATTCTTTGAGCAAACAATATCATTGTCAAAGCACTTTTTGTTCTGAGCAATTATAGATATATTTGAGTTATCTGTGCTCTGCAACATTAAGAAGAAAATTCAATTGTGTTTCAGATTTATTCTATGCTTACCATCACACAAAAAAAAAAAAAAAAAAAAAAAAAAAGGAAACTTTAGAATTTACACACATTTGAAATTAAAGTTAAGCAAGTTACCAAATCAGGAAATGCATTTTTAAATTCAAAATTGAGCTGAAGGCTTTACATACTCAGAGGATCAGGCTACCCCTAAAATAAGAGTCTAGTTTAGGCTTTTAAAATATGCTTATAGTTGGAATCTAATATTTACAGCACAGTGTGGTTGTTGAAATTGAGACATGCTATAAAAAGAGCTTTATATTTAAACCAAGGTACATGAGATCAAGCTGTTTTCATGTTTCTAAAACCAAAAAACCTTCCATCTGTCAGTAATAGAACAGTTTCTGTGCCGCACAACAAAATTCACAAAACCATGAGTCATACTCAACGTTACTGGAGGGGGTAAAGGTTTCTGCCAATATTTTTGTTTGTAGGGTGGTGTTATATTAACATTTAGAAGATTTGAATACTTTGTTGCCCTGATTTACTGGTGTTTTAGTACTTCAAACTTAAACGTACTGCCTTCCCAATCCCACATCTTTTGGCTCTACAGCCCATTCATTACTTTTGCATTCTAGGCACAAAAAAAATCACCTTTGCACCTTGGCTCAACACATCTGTTTATTCACCTACAGCTTCTGTGGTTCTTCTGCATCCTGAGGGAAACATGCCTACACCTTTTAATTCCCTGTGCTAAGATTTTACTTGAACAAAGGAGATAAACTGTCTTTTCAGTTGCTAACACTACCACCAAAAAAAATGAAGTTGTGTTATTCCTATTATTTCCTATTTTAATTTGCTTTTCTATTCTTTTCTGTACCAATCCTTGCAAATCAACAAGCAGCCATAACTATAGAAATTACTTGAGAAAGTTAACTTCATAACATTAATATGTGCTACTGTTAATATTAATATGACACACTCTTTCTGAATCTGGTTCAATTTTTGAGTAAATTCAGTCCTACGGTCATCAGAAACCTGAGACAGACATGAAATAAAAATCTTGGACGTGGCAAGTAACACCCACTGACTAATCTAATCTCATATGGGACACTTGGGTAGCGCTGGGAACAAAAAGGTTCTCTTTTTGCTAAAACTCTTTTGGTTCCCACTCTATTTTGAACATTCTCTCTGAGACTATGATTAGATGAAACTAACTGGAGGTGTCAATGGGCATGGTGTGCAAGATGGAAATGGTTGCTCTCAGAATCTCCCCAGTCCTGGGAACTACTCTTGGCTCCCAGAAATGCTGGGAGCATTGAAGAGCATTGAAGAGCTCCACTTGGCCACAACAGGAGGCATCCCTCACCTTGGTGTGTGCCCACAGCATCTTGCCCCAGAGCTTTGCTCCCTCCTGTGGTCAATGTACCACTGCCTTGCTCAGTGTAACCCCAAAAGTTGCTGGCTACTTACTCCTTACTATTTCTTGCCTGTCTCACATTTGTACCCTTATTTATTCTGTGCTCATCAGAATTCAAGAATTAAAAAAATCAGTAATTTCTCCTCATCAGTGAGAAATACTGCATGCATAAAACATAGGTTCTATAGGAAGCAGTTTGTATATTTTTTTTCTTAGTAAAAGTCAAATGTAAACTTTTCTTAGTAAAAGTCACCAAATCCTTTAAAGAGCACTTTCAATCTAAAATCAAAAACAAACCCAACCCCAGATGACAGAAAGTATAGAGGTATTTTCTTGCCACACACAGAACACGCTACTGTTTTGCTACCCTTAGCCTAGCATGGCCCACAAGCCAGAGGATGCTGCTACATGGCATAGAAAACACTACAGCAAGCAAGTGCTTAAGAATGTGATGAGCACAAGTTGTGGGAGACTGCCTGCAAGCACTATCTTACCCTAATGCCAGGGCTTAGCAAACAGATGGTACTTGCCAGCAGTTAGCTTGGAAGGCAGCAGTTACAGTGGGTAAGGTTATTCACTAACTGCTTAGTGGTAAGGGCGTGTAGGAAATCAGATCTCATGATTTAGCAAGGGAACTCAGTTTAAAAGTATCAAAAGCTTCAAGGTAAAGTTCATCTGTTCCATTCTGTTGTAAATTCCTATTAGGTTGCACTCAAAATAAAACCGGTCACTATCTTATTGGGTAGTACACTATGTTTTAATTAAACCAAGCCTGCTGCTGGAGTACCAATTATTCCTCTCCAAGTCAAATAACAGCCCAGAGCATTTTTTGATTTATTGGATGTGATGTGGTAAATTAAAAAGGAGACAATCTCATTAGTTCGGTAGATAGGATGCAAGCTGATACATTCTGTGCTGGGCAACTGAAAAGTGAGAAAAGGAGTTACTCCCCACGATGGCTCAGTGCAGAGACGGACTTTGCTTGCAGTTTCTGTGTCTATTTGATGCCTAGGACATTATGGGCCCTTTTCATTGCACGGGTCACTCCTCTTCAGTTAGCTTAGTCTCAGCAAAAAGGGACACTCTGAGTTAATAGGGAAGCAATGTCTTCTTTGTAAGAAAAGAAATTAACATCTTGATTTTAAATAAGGATAGTTAAATCAGGCTAATTATCCCACAGTGAAAATACACCTTTTTTGGCAATGAAGACAAGTCCTTGAGGCAGCAGCGGGTAGCTATATTACGTATGCTAACTGAAGCTGCTGCCTGTGCCTTCTGTCAGCCCAGGCCAATCCCTTCAGCTGAACAGCATCAACATACTAAAGTCAGAAGTTTTTGTATATGGTTGGGATTTGAGCCAAGAGCACACACTGAGTTATATTTCAAGTTAACTCTGCAGTACAGATAAGCCTGGAGCCAGGAAGTGTTTTGCTGACCAAAGCCAGAACAAGGAGTCCTGAAGACACATGAAGTACTTCCTTACTTATAGGACTGCATGATGGTGTTAAATTACTAGAAATTATGCAGGACGGATATGCATAGAGACCGTGCTAGTAGTTCAATAGAGTCACGAGTAAATCACACTTCTAATAAAAAAGGGCTTTGTATTAAATCCTGAATCTTCTGTGCTTTCTCTTTTTTTAATTAAATCTTAGACCTAAACCCAAACATAAAAATATCATTATGGATTACATGTCTGTTTTGGCTCTAAGCTTTCACAAAATTATTTGCTTTACATACGTTTACAAAATTATTTGCTTGCTGTTCTCTCCATATAGCTAAATAGACACCTTTCCAAGCCATACAGTACTAGACAAATTCAAAGACAGTTTCTATCACAGTCTTCAAATTATTCTGTAGCTGCTGCACAGGCAGCGTCTTCTTTCAATAAAGAAGAAATAAAGTGCAGTTGAAACTTAGCACTTAACTACTACCAGTGCAAAAGAAAAGACTATTCAGATAAAGCGAGGATCATCTTCTGATGTTTATATAAGACAGGGAGGTCTTAAGCAAATCTCAAGAGTTCTTGAGGAATGTGATGGCATAAATGATAATGATCAAGTTCCACCTCTCTAATCTGTACTAAATCCACACAAATATGAAAACAAGCTTTTGTCACTACCACTAGAAGAAATATCTGAGTAGACACTAGGAGCAGGTCTAATGAATAACAAGGTGGGGGATTTTTTGGTTTTGTTTTTTTCTGCACAGCCTCTTTCCAAGGCAGAGTCACTCATTACCTTTTTAGGTAAAATGCACCCAGCAGGGGTTGTACTTCAGTTCATCATGTGAAACCTACTTATGCTGACAGAAGCTAGAAATAAAATGGTTTTCCCACTGCAAGAGTATCTTCCCACGTAAATTACCATATCCAGCCTGTTCCAACTTAATATCAGTGTCTTTGTGATAACATGGAGTTGCCAAGCAACAGAAAAGACAGAGTCACAGCTCTGGGCAGTCAGTCAAAAGCTCATTGTCAGTCCCACTTCTCAGGACATTCTCTTTCTAGACTTCACTGCACTTTTTTAATATATATTTCTTCCTAGTCAAAAAAGTAAAGCACTGCTTTCCTTTTTCTGGTTTGGTGTTGGTTTGGGGTTTTTTTAGCAGTGCTTGGGAATGCTAGAGTTTATTTTTGTTAGAAACTTTCTATTTCAATATCCTGTTAGAAATGTTCTGTCCCTTTTAACCAACAACAATTCTGTGTAGTGTGCTTACATCGTCAAAATGCAGCCTGGGGAAGACAATATAATTGGCTGTATTTATTGATTCAAAAGTTTCATCAAAATCTCTCTAACTGTTCAGTGTAAAGACTCATTTTTTCCATTCTCAATACCCTGATTTACCCATTACTTTTCATTTATTCCCTACAAAATTGCAAACTAGGCTGGCCATAAAGGCATATAAGGACATACTGGGAGTGGGATAGAGATAAATTAGCCCTGTATTCCTTTTCCTTTTGCTTTAATGATGTTTTTGGTGTTTTCATACATAGCCACAAAGAGAAGTGCAAAAATCTCTAAAAATATTGAAAAAAAAATACAAACTAGTTTAAAAAGTAGAATTTGCTTTCTTCTTCTTACATATTTTCAGAGAGATTATTAGTCTGTTCAGATCTAATATTTCAGATTTTATGGAAAGTTAGAATTAGCTTGCTCATGGTTTATTGGCTCTGAGTTTCTTCTGAAGGAACTTAACATTTGAAACTATTACTTCTAGGAAGCTTGATCAGGAGAAGTAAAACATCTTAGCCCAGATTTAATGAGCATTTGAGCATAAATATATAAGTTATTTTGGGGAGCAGACAAATGCCTTGGCATCTAACTTGTTCTTGCTCTATTAATTTCCTGTGACATTTTACTATGGACTTGATCTCCAGATAACCAGTGAAAATGCATTAATTTTGAAAAATTCATTTTAATTGACACTAAGAAGCATCTCTTATTGAAAGGCTTCCCTTTTTTTTGCTGCTGCATCTAATTTCTTCTGCACCTTCCCAGAATTACATATACAGTCCATGTAAATTTATTTGATCCCTGTCTTTGCATCCCATACTAATTTGTATCAGCAAGTAGTCTTTC